GGTTGGCCAGTCAGTTTCTCTTAATTTAGAGCCCATTCATACCCTCTTGACCAGATCTTAGTCTTGAAGTGGCTTCACTGTCTGGCCTTTAATAAGAATCCTTTCTGGTGACAAGACGGGTGTATCCCTTCTCACTTGTCATAGGCAATTACTTTCTATATTTCGTCCATCCTTCTCTAAACTAACTGCACATGGCTTTATTGGCAATATACGAGGGGAAGTCAATAATTACCCGCAATTCAGTTGTATTTGTGTTTCCATTGGCAGCACTGTCGTTTTGCGCAGCATCGCCATGCGTGGTTTTCTTGTCATTATTTCTGCACAGGTTTGATGTTGCTAGGTCAGTTCCATCGTCGCTGCCTGGCCATTAAGCAAGGCGAACAAGGTTTCTCCGCTGTTTGCATCAAAGAGGAGCAACGTTCAGTGATCCGGTTTTTGTGGTCAGAAGGTGTATCAGGGGCCTCAATCCATCAAAGACTTTCAGCACAATACGGGAACAGTGTTTTGCCGCAACTGAGTGTCTACGAATGGATTGAAAAATTCAGAAATTGTCGCACAAGTGTTACGCATGAGGAAGGAGCAGGACAACCATCCACGACCACAAATGGGAACAACATTGAGCGTGCACGTGACATGGTTCTGTTAGACAGACGAGTGACTATTGATGAAGTGGCAAATCGTCTGCAGATATGTCATGGTTCTGCCTACGAAATCATCCACAACAGACTTGGGTTTCATAAAGTCTGTACAAGATGGGTCCCAAAACAATTCACAGTGTTGCATAAACAAACACGCTTGGACATCTGCCAACATTTGGATCGCTACGATATCGAACGTGACGTCTTCTTAGACAGAATCATCACGGGTGACCAAACATGGATCATCATTGCGAGCCCGAGAGTAAATGGCAGAGTATGGAATGGAAACATCCACAATCGCCCAGCAAGAAAAAGTTCAAAAGCCAAACATCCGCAGGAAAACTGATGCTTACAGTTTTTTGGGGGCTCACAAGGCCCAGTACTGGAACATTATCAGGAGAGGGGCACAACAATAAACAGTGCTCGTTACAGTGAGATGCTTACTGACAGGCTAAAGCCTGCAATTCGAAGCAAACGCCGAGGACTACTGTCGAAGGGTGTTGTTGTTGCATGACAATGCCCGTCCACATACTGCTGAGACCCTCCGGAAACTCAAGTTTGATGTAATGGCTCATCCTCCGTATAGTCCTGATTTCGCCCCTACTGACTACCACTTGTTTGGTCCACTCAAAGAGGCATTAAGGGGCCGTCAATTCACCTCGGACCAAGAAGTGAAGGAAGCGGTGCTTGCGTGGCTTACTGCTCAGCCAAAAACCTTTTCTGAGGGCATCAGAAAGCTTGTGCAACGATGTACCAAGTGCGTTGAAAAGCGAGGGGACTATGTTGAAAAATGATGTTAATGTAAGTTTTCTATTTGTATTGAAATAAAATTTATAGCTACATTGCGGATAATTATTGACTTACCTACGTATGTAGTATATAATCGCATTTCGATTTCCACGAATTAAATAGTGACCAGCCCCACCACATCAGAAAGCTAGGAGCCGCCACTGGAATTCCAGCTGGAGAGGTTATTCACCACAGTTTACCTGAAGGGCACATAAAATTACTTCAGTACAACGAAGTAATACTGGCGGTTTGCGACGTTTCAGTTCAGTCCTGCCTTTAGCTCACCACGCTTTTGTTATGAAGCGAAATGGCGTATTTTTGTGGTGGTAGCAGATTTACGGAAGAAGTATGTTGTGTCACTAATGAATTAATGATTTATGGATCATGTAATTTCGTGAAGTCTGATAAACAGTAATCCGTTTATCTTGCCCAGTGTGGTTAGATTACCACATGACATATGAGACTACGAAGTGAAATTTTAATATCTTCAAGGTTACGTGTACAATACATTGAATTTGTGCTGGGATCTCTTGACAGATTTCAACACGATTCCCTTCTGCATACCTGGGCAAAAGGGCATGCAATGGGCGTTTTTTGGTAATCATCTTTGTGGTTAATTTTATGGTTCCGTCAGCATCTTGATTGCATAGCGTAGATTCGTAGGATGATTGATCAATTGGAAAGGTTCTGGAAGGAGGCAATTGTGGCCTGAGAGACGTACTACCTAGGCATTAGCTTTGAGAGGTTGAGGAAAACTATGAATAACCTTCGTCGGAATAGTCTATGGACCACGCAGGGTGCCCATACTGGCACTACTACATATATCTAGAATTTCTTGTTATGGGCTGCAAGGCTGACGTACAGAATAAGCCGTATGACAAAATACAACAGCTAAATGGCCATTCCCCACTATGTATGCACTGATGTCTATTCAGATGACTCCGACGACTAAATGATTTATTACACACGCTGCAGCAAAATGTCTGCTCCCCACTGTGTATGTGCTGATGTGTCCTCAGATTAAACTGTTGACTGAATGATTCACTATGCTCATCACAGGAATATGACTGCTCCTCACTATGTACAGGCTGAAGTTCATTCAAAGTACTCTGGAAAATGAGTGAGAGTAACATGACAAGTCCTAGTAGGAAGAGAAATGATTTTGACACCCCAGTGGAGTCAGATGTTAAAATGGGTTGGAATGAAAGGGGTGACAGATAAAAGTGGCATGGCAAGGAGAGGGAGGAAGACAGAGTACACGACCCCTTGTGTGGTGCAAGCCTGTGTGTCTGTTAGCAAGCATGTCAGTTGTGAGTGAATAAAAATTAAAGATGTATAGGTGACACAATCTTAGGGGGTTGGGACTAAATGCACTGAATTTAAGTGTAATTCCTTCAAGTTATTAGTGTTGTGTCATTCTATTATATTAAACTTCTGAATTCCAATTAACAGTATGTAATTTTACTGAACAATTACACAATCACACCTAAATTTAAACATACTTCACTATTTTCAGTTGACTGCTCTCCTCCACAGCAATGGTGATTGGAGGGGGAAAAAAAAGAAAAAAAAAGTCCCTAATATCAAAAACACCTTTTTGTATCTCATGATACAATTTCTTTGCTATATGATATTAACAGTAAAAGGAGGCATGCAAGTCTTTCATAATCCCTTCAATTAAATCCAAGTGTACTATTATATTAACCCACAAGCTGATTCAACACTTCTTTATTGAACTTTCTTTTTGTAATCAACATACAAAATGACATTTTACCTGTTAACAATCAGCAGGGCATACAGTATGTTCATGTGACCAATCAATAATAGTCACCTCAATTTACCAAATTCAAATGATGTATCNAAAAAAAAAAAGTCCCTAATATCAAAAACACTCATGATACAATTTCTTTGCTATATGATATTAACAGTAAAAGGAGGCATGCAAGTCTTTCATAATCCCTTCAATTAAATCCAAGTGTACTATTATATTAACCCACAAGCTGATTCAACACTTCTTTATTGAACTTTCTTTTTGTAATCAACATACAAAATGACATTTTACCTGTTAACAATCAGCAGGGCATACAGTATGTTCATGTGACCAATCAATAATAGTCACCTCAATTTACCAAATTCAAATGATGTATCAATTTGTAACTAAATGAGCAACAAATTTATTCACAGCACACAGTGGAAGGGCAGAGATAACATAAGAGCAAAAGACAAATGATTCTGCAGAATTACGTTTACAAGCTGTTGTTCAGTTTCAGTAACTATGCTCTACTAATCAACAGCTTCCACAGCTGAAGTAAACATGATAACTATACATGAATATCAAGTCACGCCTGTTTCCACTCAACAAGACGGTCCTGTGCACATTCAGCAATTAGAATAAAACACATAGTGAAACGCAATGACATTTTGTACCATGGGATGCATGTATTTCCCATATCTACAACCTCTTTATTTGACCGTCACAACACAGCAAATATAGAACTTCAAGGACAATGCTCAGTATAGTTCTGCAACTATAGTTCCCATATCATTCAGAAAGGATAGCAACTGCAAACAACTCCAGTATCTTACAGCATTCTGCAAAAATGCAGGACGCAATAGAGTAAATATGTGACTTATGGCAAGAAACACTGTAGCATGCCACATGTCACATATATTTCCTTTAGTCTAAACCCATCTCTACAGCTCTATGATTTACTAAACATATCAAAATGTTTGCGCTGATATGTCTTCAAATTATGATGATGGAATGACTTATTATACACATTACAAATAAATGGTCATTCCCCAGTATGTATGACCTTGTGTTTCCTCAGATCACTCTGCTGATGGAATGACTTATTACACACATTATAGATATGTAGTGTGTTCAAAAAGTACCCAACCTTTGGTCGGCAGAAATACATTTATTGATTTGGAGGTACAAAACCCTAATCCCCTTCAAAGTAGTCTCCTTGGTAATGCACACACTTCTCCCAGCGCTTCCGCCATTGTTGAAAACACTTCTGGACGTGTCTTTTGGAATGGTGATCAGCCAGGCGGTTGCATTCCGCATGATGTCTTCTCTTGACTCAAATCGGATTCCTTTCAGCAGAATTTTCAGCTTGGGAAATATCCAAAAGTCACACGGAGCCATGTCGGGGGAGTAGGGAGCCTGACGAAGCACAGGGATGTTGTGTTTGGAGACGAAAGTCTGAATCAGATACACAGTTTTGGTACAAATTTTGCGGACACTCTCCTCATGCCCAAATCCTCGGTCAAAATTGAATGTACCGATCCAATGCTTACCCCTATCTCGTTCGCAAGTTCTCGGACTGTGATACGACGGTCCTCCATGACCAAAGTCTGCACTTGCTCAATGACATTCTCATTTCGGCTTGTTGAGGGTCTCCCTGAACACGGTTCACTGTCCACTCATGTGCGGCCATCTTTGAAGCGGTTGTACCACTCCTTTATCCGTGAGTTGCTCATGGCATCATCCCCGAAAGCCTGTTGAATCTTGCGAATGGTTTCCACTTGGGTATCGCCAAGCTTTTGGCAAAATTTGATGCAATATCGCTGCTCATGTTGTTCCGTCATTTTACACCTTACTGGAATCCGACGAGCGCTCACTACACATCCACACTTATAGGCCAACTGCCAGCGACTGACGCTTTCTGCGGGCAGGAAAAAATTCACAACTGCGCATGAACGTACCCTCCACATCTCCACCGAAGGAAGCCTCCCACGCTTCATTGGTATACACCGGAAAAAAGAAGGCTCGTAAATGGCCGTTCCCCAGTATGTGCGCGATTATGCCTCCATAGATAACCCTGATGTTTAAATGATATATTACAAATATCACAGCTATATAGCCGGTCACAACTATGTAGGCTCTGATGGTTCATCAAGTATTGCTTAAGACTGAATGACTTATTACAAAAGTCACAGATAAATGGTCGTTCCCCACTATGTATGCGCTGATGTTTCTTCATATTACTCTGATCATGGAATGACTTATTACACACATTACAGATAAATGGCCGTTCCCCACTATGTATGCGCTGATGTCTATTCAGATAATCCCGACGACTAAACGATTTCTTACACACGCTGCAGCCAAATGTCTGCTCCCCACGGTGTATGTGCTGATGTATCCTCAGATTAAACTGTTGACTGAATGATTCACTATGCTCATCACAGGAATATGGCTGCTCCTCACCATGTACAGGTTGAAGTTCATTCAAAGTACTCTGAAAAATGAGAGAGTAACATGACAATTCCCAGCAGGAAAAGAAATGACTTTCACACCCCAGTGGAGTCAGATGTTAAAATGGGTTTGCATGAAAGTGGTGACAGAAAAACGTGGCAAGGCGAGGAGAGGGGAATACAGAGTACACAACCCCTTGTGTGGTGCGAGCCTGTGTGTCCTTTAGCATGCATGTCAGTTTGTGAGTGAATAAAAGTTAAAGATGTATAGGTGACAATCTTAGGGGACTCAGTTCACTAGACACAGCCACCCCGTTACCATGAACAAATGTGTGCGAGTCATTTCCATGGATGCCATGCAATATTCATTCAGAATGAAAATGTTTGGCTTTTGTCAGAACATGGGCACTCCTTCCAGATGTGTAAAATAGTAATGGGCACATCACACTGTGTAGAAGGTGTGAGTACACTTCACAACAAATGCATACGTGTCAGTCAACTGTGCCTCATTCAAAGGCATATATGCATGATTCCCTTCTTCCTGATGAAACTGAATGACTGCCACGATGGAATACATGGCTGCACCAACTGCATTTTGTTATCCTGTCTGTTGCTCCACACGTCTTGATATGACAAGACTGGACACCAAGAAAGTAAACCCGAAACATTACCATCAGACATTGTTCTGCTGACAAACTCCCAAAAAACGCTGCTTCACTGGTTGCTGCATTCAACGTTGGTACAGTGGGTCCTGGTTATCAGTGGTTAATTGTCACTGGAAAGGTGCCACTTGAAGCAAATCCCCTTAAAGAATGGATTTCCACCCACAACACATAATATAAACAAAAGAGTTCGAGTTTAACAGGTGTCTGTAAACTGAGAAGGTAGCATGCCTGCCATGAGATATTTTAAAAAAGGAACTGCAATTCAGCAAACCGAACACCAACTCCTGCACCCATTCCAAATTAATGGCTACACTGTACTGAAATAACAATATTTTACATATACAGTGCGTTCAGTTAAGGAAGAAACTTTCCAACACCGCTGACCCAACCCAACATTCCTCACAGATTGCTACTGTACCTGCTGACAGCAGAATGAGTCATTAGTATGGATAAATGCACACCGTTACAGTTACAGCAGCAATCTGTGAGAAATATTGGGGTCAGTCAAGTGTTGAGAAGATTCCTCCTTGACTGAACACCCTGTATAAATTTAACATATAAATATAACACTTCATACCTGTTATTACCTTCCAAAGTATACATAAGAATAACTTTACATTGTGTCTGTGTGCGTGTGAGAGTGCACACTGAAACCTGGAAGGACCTGCCCTTTGGTTCCAGCTCGCAGTTTTGCTTNCCACTTGAAGCAAATCCCCTTAAAGAATGGATTTCCACCCACAACACATAATATAAACAAAAGAGTTCGAGTTTAACAGGTGTCTGTAAACTGAGAAGGTAGCATGCCTGCCATGAGATATTTTAAAAAAGGAACTGCAATTCAGCAAACCGAACACCAACTCCTGCACCCATTCCAAATTAATGGCTACACTGTACTGAAATAACAATATTTTACATATACAGTGCGTTCAGTTAAGGAAGAAACTTTCCAACACCGCTGACCCAACCCAACATTCCTCACAGATTGCTACTGTACCTGCTGACAGCAGAATGAGTCATTAGTATGGATAAATGCACACCGTTACAGTTACAGCAGCAATCTGTGAGAAATATTGGGGTCAGTCAAGTGTTGAGAAGATTCCTCCTTGACTGAACACCCTGTATAAATTTAACATATAAATATAACACTTCATACCTGTTATTACCTTCCAAAGTATACATAAGAATAACTTTACATTGTGTCTGTGTGCGTGTGAGAGTGCACACTGAAACCTGGAAGGACCTGCCCTTTGGTTCCAGCTCGCAGTTTTGCTTGTAAAATTTCTTTATAGCCTGATAACACAGCATCCAATTCAATTCAACCTTGGCAGAATTTTCACAAAAAGGATCATGGCGCCAAAATAATCCACAGCCTTATTAATTTTGCTGAAGGTTTCTCTTAACCTTTAAGAGACAGCCCTTTAAATTCCAGTAATGGCTGCGGGACGGATTTAATGTAAATACCCACAATTATAAAGCAATAAAAACTGTAATCATTTACTAAAATTGCTGTGATTTCTACAATTTTTGTGATAAACGAACCAAATAAACACTGCTTTTTTCTAGAAAGAATATAGAATCAGATATTGTAATTTACAGACTTTATAAAATGTGTAAATATCTTTAGACTGATTTCAACAAAAATATTCCCCAATTTGTCATCTGTCTACAAGAATTCATACAGTTCTTGCAAGTATGAATGCTGCTGAAGTGGCAACACAGCAGATGCGCTAGCCGGGGTTAGGCCTGCATGTGTCAGTGTATATTCACGTACGTTCTTTCGGTATGCAGAGATATGGGCGAGTATCTATTCGTTCATAAGAACCCTGACTGTTTTTTATCGCTTATAGCTACACAACAAGTTCTCTGTTCTGACAGTGCTGAGTTAGTTTTTATAGGAACTTTCAAGGCTACCGTCCTTATGCCACAGCCAAACAGTATCATAACTTTCAAAGCTAGCATTCAGTGAAGTTGTCAGCCCACACCATGGCGACGTCTCGTTTGGAAGACGCTGACATATTTCAACTCATAAACGACTCCAAATCATATTGTTGTACCGACAATTCTGAGAGTGGCGTTGAGGAAAGTGAATCAGAAATTGATTTCGACNCCCATCATCTTCGTCGGCAATCTGGGGACCACCACACCAGCGTGGCAAGAGGAGTGTGAATAATTATTCAGGTGGAGCTGTGGGGTTAAATACCAATGAAGCTCCACACATGAATAATGATTCCACCCCTTTCTGCGTTTTAATGCTCTATTTCGTAGGGATTATCCGTCTGCTGGTGGAAGAGACGAATAGGTACTACCATCAGCACATAGACAGACGTCAAGACGGACCTTCTCCGCGGCCTGACGTGACCGAATCCGAGATGTTTCTGTTTCTAGAAATAATCATTCAAATGGGACATGACAATAGAGGCAGACTAAAGGACTACTGGTCGACTCTAGAACAATTTGCCACGCCTTTCTACTCTTAGACAATGAAACGCGACCGTTTTCTACACATTCTTCGTTTTCTTCATTTTGCAGACAACAGTACAGAAATTGACAGGAATGCCGACAGTTATGACCGACTATGGAAAATTCGGACCATCTTCGACACTCTCAATGACGCATTTGAAAAATATTATAACCCTTCCGAACATTTGGCCATTGACGAAATAACTGTAAAATACAAAGGGAGGGTGGTTTTTAGGCAGTACATTCCTAAGAAACACAAACGTTTCGGAATCAAAATCTTCAAAATTTGTGACGCCGCTGGGTATACTTATGACATGAAAGTTTACCTAGGAAAAGACAGGACACGTGACAGCGACACATGCTACAGTTAGGGACCTATGCAGACGTATTGAGGGCGTAGGTCACAAACTGTACATGGACAATTTCTTTTCTTCACCCGACTTGTTTGACGAACTGATGACAAAGAACATAACGTGCTGTGGGACAGTCAGACCTAATCGGAAGGGCTTGCCCGACGATTTTCGACGAAGACAATTTCGACTGAAGAAAGGGGACATTCGTGTTAGGGTGAGACACAACTTGACAGCACTAGTTTGGAAGGACAAACGTGACGTTTACATACTGACAAATATGCACTCTCCTCCAGCAGAAGGCAGTTTCTGTGATGAGCACGGAAATGCCATGAAGCCAGCAATTGTTGCTAACTACAACAAGCACATGGGTTATGTCAACAAAGCGGACAGAATAGCAAACAGTTATAGCATCTGTCGTCAAACCTGGAAATGGACAAATAAATTATTTATCCATCTCCTGGATCTGACGATTCTGAACAGTTATATCGTGTTGTCATCCTGTGGCGCAAAATTGTCACACAGAGAATTTCGTCTCGCCCTTGTGCGGAACATGCTGGAGCATGCGGGAAGGGGCCCCCCTCGCCCTCAATGGCCCAGGGGTCGACCCCCTGCTGTTTCATCGGAGTCATTTCGAATAGAGGAGGCCAAACAACAGCACCTGCCGACTTCCTCTACTTCGAAATTGAGGTGTCGAGTGTGCTCTTCGCGTGGGAAACGAAGAACCGTCCGGATAAAGTGCGTGAAGTATGACGTCGGACTCTGCATTTCCGGATGTTTCCAAGATTTCCACACGAAGCCAACATTCCGTTAGATGACGCAGGTGGGAAGAGGGACAACTTATAAAGCTGGTGTCCAAAAATCATGCAAGTAGAAAAAGAATTTATAACTTAAAATTAGATTTTAAAAAGCCGGCCGCACGCGTGGACTGTGCGATGACATATGGAGTCATTTGTCCCCTTGACTTTATTTTTGTGACTCCATATGTCACCTTTAGGCTTTAAAAGGTTAAACCTTTTAACTGTTCGGGTATTTATTCTGAAATCACACTCCCACCTTTATCATCCTATGCTTCTTTATGTCTGCCAGCTCAGTGATAAGCCATCATGGCATGTAGGGAGAAATACTGCACTGTAAGGATAGTCCTGCGTTGCAAACTTCACCATCTGAGTACAGAACAGGATATGCTTCTACAGGAAGAATGGATGTTCTCACGTTTCCTCACATGCAAAATTTCAACATACATGGTGCAGAAGGCACAAGTTTAATACAGACTGCAGTGTTTACACAAGATTTATGATAATCTGGACTTCACTGTTGAGCCATACACGAAACATAAATTGTCCATTTTAGAGTGGAACAGAAGCAGCAGAACCCGAAACACTGTCATCCAGTCTCCGTTTCATAACATATTCACGAGCAGAAAATAATCAAATAATTAAGTAACAGGAAAACACCAAGTATAACATGTAGTAGTTAAACTTCACTTACAATGTAAAAATGTGCCTGTCATGTTTTGGCTCTATAGGGCCATCATCAGAGGGTTACATGCTCAAGAGGAAACTGCTTTGTGTACACTATTTATAGCACTAACATTTAAATAATACCAGCAGACCCTGTGAATCCTGTAACGTAGTACAAAAGGACAGCTTACTGGATTCGATGGACAAGGGATATGTGGTAGATTTTTCACGCAATGGAATTTGTCTCAAACATTTTTCAGTTTACACAGTATTTAATTTAATCTATGCTAGATCTCACTGAAAGAAAACAGGAGTGGCAAATCAGAAGGAACATTCAACAAACTAAAGTTGTCTCAGACATTTCAGAAAATCCCTTCAAAATCCAGCGAACAGCATGATGAAGTTGTCATGTATGCAGACAGAGATGGGAGATCAGAAAGACAACTGGCATTTCTGCTTACTGTGATATCTGCCTAAAGATGGACGTATAGAAACATAGAGCTCACCTCTGGTTCAGCCTTCACTTCTGGAAATGTTATTGGGAGAGGATCTGCTTTCTTTTCTGCGTCTGAGTCTTCTTCAGTTTTAATATTCATGTCCTGACTTCCATTACAACATGCTGGGTATGTCTCACCATATGGACCCACTAAAACTTTATCTGTATTTGTGTAGCTCTGTAAAACAATCATATCTTTATCAATGATGACTGTACATCATACATGAAACGGTGTCTGGTTTCCATTACATCAAACCCATAACAGCTGCTTTGTACAGATATTTTCTCTACAGCTTTGAAAATCATTAGAAGGTAGTGAGTTCAAAGCACAGTAACCTTGTTGAGAAACTAATGATCACTGCAGTAGAGCAGAAAATATCTATGACTCCTAAAAATTGCACAATGAGGAGCCTCATAACATGATCCTTTGCAACCACAATTACAATGACCAAGTCAAAAGGGATGAAATGGAAAAGCATACAGCAGGAACGGGGGAAAAGAGGAATGCATGTAGGATCTTCGTGGGAAATCCAGGAAGAATCAGACCACTAACAACACCCAGACATAGGTCAAAGGATATTGAAATGGATCTTACAACACAGGATGGAGTGGGGTAGACTGGATTTATCTGGCTCAGCACAGGGACCTGTGGGGAGAGCTTTTGTCAACGTGGAAATGAACTTTCAAGTTTCTGAAGATGCTGCAAAATTTTTCAGTTGCAAAGCAACTGACAGCATATCAAGAAAGGTTCAGCTCCATGGAGTTCATTATGGCATCTAAGGGCTCCTTACTGTCTTCACACATGCCCCAACTTGGCTCTGTATCCTGAGGCAAACATACCCAGTCCAAACCCTCTGAAATTATTTCTTTAAAATCTGTCTTAATAGTGTGACGTGTTGCGCTATGGATGACACCCCTCCCTCCCCGCCAGTCGTGATGTGCCGAGAGGAGCCAAAGTGAGCCGAGTCCCAGCACACTGGTCACTATGCAACACGAGTAAACAGCGGTTGCTAGGCAAAGCGGGTAAACAGTGGTTGTGAGAGACGACGGTAATAACAGCGGTACACAGCGTTGCTAGCACCACGGCGGCAGACAACAGTGGTGCCTATGACGTGGCTGTTTCCTGTGTTGTCCGGAACAAGGCTAAATAAGGAGCAGCGAAGAGTTCACGAGTTACAGTTCTCAAGTTCTTGAGTTCTATAGTTACAAGTCAGTCACCAGTTAATTGCAGTACAGTATTTGAGATACTGTCAATAGCAGTAATGTTGAGCTTGTAAATTGTGTGATTGTAAGAGCAAATGTGAAATAAAATTTGCTATATCAAATACGGCGTGAAGTTATTTGTCGCGATATACACACAACACGTGACAACAGTATCCTTCTATCTACACACAGGTCTCCCAAGTAGTCTGCTTCCTTAGCATTGCTGTCAAAAACTTTGTATGCATTTCCCACTCTTGAATGTGTGCTACATGACCTACCCACAGCACTCTACCTGAGTTGATCACTCTCCTACATAATATGCCAAACGGTTATAATGTCTACATGTGTGTAAGAAACTCCTCACATGGATTATGAAAACAAACTCAAACTTGTCACAATATATTTACTTTCTTTGGCTAAGAGAACTGACATATGACAATAAAATTCTAGTCTATGCGTACAAGAATAAGGTACTCACCATGCTTTCTTTCACAGCAGGAAATGTTTCTTCAGCTCTCTGTAGCACAATTCTTGGCAGTCTTGTTGCAAGAGAATGCAGAAACTTTTGTAACCTTGGAACTTTTTTATCATGTATGATATTTTGTGGGGCTGACTGAAATTAACATGTGAGAACCCAAGTGACATATAATGTCTTGGTTCTAATAAGTGTACGAGCAACTAACTGTGAACAGTTCCCTAAATCTGTAAAGATTTTTCTTGCCACAGAATTTATCTCAAACATTCTGAATTTAAAAATTATTTAATCTCAATTATATTTGATCTATTTAAAAAGTAAATGGGTGCGGTATATCACAAGCAAGATTCAACAAACTTCCACTGTCACAAGCACTTAAGAAAAAGCTCCCAAAGTCCAGTTGGCAGCACAGTGAAATTGTTCCATGTGCGTAGACAGAGATGGAGATCAGAAAGACAACTGGAATTTATGAGTATCTGTGTTATCTTCTGAATAGTGGACAAACAAAAACATACAGCTCACCTCAGGTTCAGCCTTCATTTCCTGAACTGTTATTCGCAGAGGATCCTCTTCTGCTGCATCTGAGACTTCCTCAATTTTAACATTCATTGCCTCGTTTGCACGTTCGCAAGCTGCGTATATCTCACCATGTGGACCCACTAGTACGTTCTCTAAATTTGCGTAGTTCTGCAAAATCATATCATATCAATCATGGCTGTACAAGACCATACACAAAACAGCATATGCTCTTCTACCTACAGTGCTTCTCCAGGACTTCTAGCCCATAAGAGCTGTTCCATAGAGATTTCTTCTCTACAGCTTTCAAAAGTATTAGAATGCAGTAAGTTCATAGCACAGTGACCTTCCTGCCTAACTAGTGCCACTGCAGCAGCATGGAAAATATCTGTTTCTTATGGTACCTAAGAACTGTATAATTTCTGTTTAATTCGCTTAGTGGGAGGTGGAGTCCAACTGGGTGGCCACTGATTGGCCTACTGTAGCCTGCCCTGGGTGATTATGATGGTGAAATTGGTGGAAGGAAGATCTGCAGGGAAAACTGAAGTACTAGAAGAAAATCCGCCCCAGTGCCACTTTGTCCACCACAAATCCCACTTGACCAGACCTGGGATCGAACCCAGGCCACCCCGATGGGAAGCCAGCAACTAACCGCCTGAGCTATGGCGCAGCCTTAAGAACTGTATAATGAGGAGCTTCATAATTTGTACCCTTTACCAAGCATGACTAGAATGATCAACTCGATGATGATGAAATGGAAAGGCCACACAGCACACATGGGAAAGAATAATTCATTTAGGATTTTGCTGGGAAAGTCAGAAAGAAAGAGACCTCTAGAAAGACAAGGTGTAAAGGTAAAGCTATCCCTGCAACATGCCATGGAGGCCCATAGGGTTGTGAGGCATCAAGGATACCACATTTTTTTTAACAACTGACTCAATGATGGAAGTGAGACTGTCAGCCTTTACAGATTTCCTGGTACTTATTTCTGTTACAGGCTGAGTTGACCCCAGGGTCATGACGCAGCCACATTACATAAATTGAAAAATTCAATTACCTCCAATGGGAATCGAACCTGCATCCTTAGTGATTGTAACATAGTATCTCAACAAACTACGCTATCGTATGCCCAGGCCTAAGTGAAAGATAACATTAACGGGCAAATGTCACATATATATGGCGCAAGCAGCAACCTGAGTTGGCCGAATGACACATATATATGACGCAGGACACGTGCTCTCTTTGGGAGTGCTGACAGTTTGACCTTGGGTTTGAAACCAAAACAAACCTATGTGAGGTCATTGTTAGTGGTTCATTTCTTAGCTCTGAACAAAGAAATTGTTTATCACGTTACTGGTTTTGATTCTTGAGCCATGCAGTGGCTCCGGTATGACGTCATGGGCTTCCAGCCCCTTGATCGAGGTTCTTAAACTTATCGCCCACCCCCTCCCCATGCGGGACTGGGTCACGTGGTGTTGCCCTCTCCCCGCCTATCCACCCCTGGGAGCCTTGCTTGGAAGTTAATTCGAGTTCGGAGGACAGTTCTGGTTATGCATCCATAGGGCCTTGCTCGGGGCGCCGAGCCAGCCGAAGTGACTGTCAAATTCCTGTTCGGCTGGGAGTCCAAAATTGGTTTCGGCAAGTAGTGGGCTGGTTTGCGGCCGGCAAGATCGCCCGCAGTCGCCCGTCGTTGGGTTTGTAGTATGGCGGCAACTTGTACCAGTTTAGTTAAACCTGTGTTTATAATTTATATTGTGTATTTGGTTTAGACTCAGCCTGTGGCCCAGCTAGAAAGTAGTAATGTTTTCATGCAACCAAGGCAAATTGTTGCACCAGTAAATATGGGCCATTCTGCCCGAGTTAGATGCCGCTGTGTGCGAGCATGTAAATGCGCAATTAGTTGAGTTGTTCTGTTTAATTTCTTGGGCTCGTGCACTGTAACGATGATGAGTTCTTGTCTTTGGTTATGTGTTAGTTGTGTTTATTAAATTCTGTTATTTGTTATTATATTGACTGCCATCATTTGTAACTAGACTTACCTCGCTGCTAGCTTGGATCCCTTACTCTAACTTAGGGAATATGCGAGCATAGCACGGGAGCCGTATGACGAAGCACTTTTTTCCCCCTTCCGATTGAGGAAAGGTAGACGGAACCGGAAGGTACCGGAGATTGTGGGTGTTCAGGGAAGGTGTGGCCGAAGATGAGGAGCAGCACAAGCTGTCATCCCGGCAAATTCTTCAATCGCACAAGCCGAATATCATGGTCAGTGGCGTTTCTCGGGGGAAGGCCAAAGTTATTAGGGGGCCCAACTGAGTTGACTGAAGGTGAAACATTCACAACACTGGTAAACCAAAGGGAAACAAAGATGTCGTGTGTTTCGCTAAATAAGAAAAGCAGGAGGACACTCTTCTATTGTAAAAAGGGTGGTGTTCCTCTGTGAGAGGTGGACTGCTTCAAGAAGTGCCACGCATGTCAGAGTGTATCATAAACTGTGAAGTGACGCAGTTCAAACTTGTGTACAGTCTGAACAATATATTATTGTATACAGTGTGACTATATTTACAATATCACCATGATTCAAGGTTGAAGCAAAAACAATGGGTAAATCCTTTGGAATGTCATAACATATATATACAAAAGACTACATTTTGCATTTCATGACAAAATAATCACAGTTAATTTTCGTTTCTAAAAATTGATGCTTAACAGTTTGGGATGAGCTTTTATCCAGTGGCACAAATTCATACGCTGTGCATGGTCGCCTGGTTCCAGATGTTGTACCCTTTGATCATGGTAAGGATATAACACTTCATCATGTAAAGTTCGCCACACCTGCATACGTGATACGCCGATGCGAGAGGCCATTCTACGAGTGGACAGACACGGACTTCTCTGAACCATCTCAAGAATATTCTCTCGTGTGTTTATCATTCATACATCCTCCCTTTCAGACTGCACAGAAACACTTGGAAGAGAACCAGTATCACGCAATGTCTGGTGAATTTGCGTAAATACACTTCGAGATGGAATCCTTTGATTGGGAAAACGCCTTTGGTATTCAACAGCAGCACATGCATTGCCACCGCAAAATCCACACACAAAATGCATATCACAATATTCCACGTGTGAAAACACAAGAGGCATTTCAGCAACTCCGTACAACTAATTTACCAACCATTCACGACACGGCCGCAACGTACTCTGTACGTAGCACGTGAGCTTACGGCTTGTGTGAATCACCACACTCAAGGACAAACATAGATAAGACGTCTCAGCTGACAGGTACAGTGCGTGGACTCGAAGACCACACTTTTCTCGGGTCATTATCTCCATAACCGTTCACCTTTGGACATAGGTGTTTTGGGTTATATCGGCATACTTTAACATAAGGAACACCCTCCCGAAGTTTGGCACATTCCTCCTGGGACATCCTGTATGTATCAAAGCACTAAAACGCCAATGCCAGGGAACGGCTGGCATCGTCCGGGTGCAAAAATGCGCCCACACCAGTCAAAGAGTTAAATTGTGGAAGCGACACATCACAAGGAACATTCAAGTAACTACAACTATATACACACACTTCAGAAAAAGGTCTTCAAAATTCAGTCAGGTGCACAGACAAACAGAAAGACAGATGGAGATCAGAAAGCAAGTGGCATTTCCGCATATTTGTGATATCTGCCTAACAGTGGGCATACACAGATACACAACTCACCTCAGGTTCAGCCTTTATTTCCTCAACTGCTACTGGCACATGATCTGGTTTCTCTTCTGTGTCTGAAACTTCATCTCTTATGCTCATGGCCTGATTTCCATCATGGTATGCTGGGTATATCTCACTATGTTGACCCACTAAAACATTCTCTGAATTTGTATAGCTCTGTAAAACCATCATACCTTTATCAATTACAGCTGTAGAACACCATACAAGAAACAGCATATGCTGTCCTTGCTATGGCTGTCTTTCATTACATCTAATCCATAACAGCTGTTCTGTACAGATTTATTCACCACAGCATTTAAAATCATTAGTAAATATTAAGTAAACAGCACAAGGACCTTCATGAGAAACTAACGGTCATTGCAGCAGCACAGAAATTATCAGCTATTTATGGTATCTAAGGGTTCATTTCTGTGCCCTCGGGTACCCATAATGGTTCTGTATCCTGGACGGAACGAAATGAATCCGAACTCTCCCAAATTATTTCTTTAAAATCCGTCTACATAAATGTCTCCCAAGTGGTCTCTTCTTTTCAAGTCATCTGTCCAAATCACTCTACACATTTCTCATTCTCACATGTGTGCTACATGACCTACCCATTACACTCTCCCTGAATTGATCATTCTCCTCATAAAATACCAAACTGCTGTAATATGAACAACCTTGTGTTAAAAGAAACTCGCCAGGGAGATTATGAAAAACTAACTCAAGCTTGCCATAAAATGTTCAGTTTCTTAGGCCACAAGAACTGAGAGATGATGACAATAAAAACTCTTTTCAGTGCACATAAGCACAAAACACTCACCATGCTTTCTCTCACAGCGGGAAATATTTCTTCAGCTCTCTGTAAAATTCTTGGCATTCCTGTTGCAAAAGAATGCAGAATCTTTCATAATTTTGAATATATTTTTAATCACGCATGATGTTTTGTGGGTTGCAAATTAATTCACTTACAAGAATCCTTGCGATACAGTATCTTATTTCTAACAAGTGTACCATTACCTAACTTGAAAAAGATGCCAAAGCCTGTTAGAAAGATACTACTGATTGTGTACAAAGACAATATTAATGTGGATTTTTTGGTTCTCTCAGAAGAACTACGAAGCTTAATGTCTTATGAGGCGTTGCAGAGTGTTACAGTTTGTTATGTAAGTTTCAAAGGCAGCTGATTCACCAGTTTTGAAGTAACCCCCCTGCCCCAAAAACGTCGGTAACGCGTTACCAGACTGCACGGCAATACATCCTAGAAACAGTAAACATAATTTACATAGTTATTTTTCGGAGCCGTAAAATAGTATTCACTAAGCATTTGTACATTCTCCTGCAACTTCAACCAGTTCAACATTGATCACCTGCTCTCATGACTTCCTTTATAAGTCGGATTGGTATATGTAACAGGGGAGAAAGGTTATTAACTGTAAAAACTTGGAATCTAAAGGAAACATGACGTTCAGAAAAGGTGTTGAAAAGTTTACAAGAATGCAAAGCAGAACTTGCAACAGAACATCACGGTCACAAAACGTAACGTCGTTTACTTCTAACAATTTTTAAAAATCTGAAGAATCGAGTGAAATTTTTCTAGTGCTCGTAATCATTCCCTGAAGAATACACACATTAATTACACAAACACAATGCTTACCTACACTCGACTCAGCAACATGCGCAACACTAAAACCATTAATATCGATTAATGTGATTAATATGTCCTTTGCTCTCCGTTGCAGTCGTTGGTCGTGATCCTTTGTCCGCTGATTAGTACAGTCTGCGTCCACTGGGAAGCAGCACTAGCATGATCACTACGATCACTACGTGCGATTTAAAAAATGAAAACCAGTGAATTTTTGGCTACGCACGGCTGAGAAATAGAGCACAAACCATTTGTAGGATTCGCATCCATAGATATAAGTGATGGTAAAAAGGTAAAGTTTTCCCTGTGCTTAACTATTTTTATTATTGCTAGTGGGGTGCGACTAAGTCCCTTGTACTGCGGCCACTTCTGGCCAATTGTACCAGCCCTAGATAGGTGAGGGTGATTGGCAGGGGAAACCGGAGTACTCGGAGAAAACCTGCCCCAGCGCCACTTTTTCCACCACAAATCCCACTTGAACAGACCCCGGGCCGCCGCGGTGGGAAGCCAGCGAATAACCGCTTCAGCTATGGCGCGGCCACTGTGCTTAACTAATTAAGCACTACGCCATGAAGGCGTATGGGGGAGTGTCTGTATAGGAGTAGATCAATATTTTCTTGACCTCGGCACTAGCTGGAGGTGAGTGGTCAGTCGCGGCCGCTCTAACCCATGGGGAAAGAGCCCCCGGTACCCACTGGATAGGAGGTTGGGTGGACCCCCTAGCCGGTCTGGATTACATGGAAAAAATTCATCCTACCGGGACTCGAACCCCGACTCCTCGGTCGTCCAGCCCGTAGCCAGTCGCTATGCCGACCGATGGCGACTACGCTTATAAGTGATGGTATTAGCTGGAAATTCTGGTTAGCCAAGATGGCGCCCACTTTCACAACGGAAGCACTAGCAATTGGTGAAACATTAGAAATCAACGAAAAAATAAACTCGGAACAAAATTTCGTGATTTTGTCGGACTGGGAAAGCGTGCCAAACGGAATCTGTAACACATCTACAATGAACAACATATTGCACATCACTCAAATGCTTAAAGACAAAATAAAACGACTGGAATCGCGGGGGAAAAATCCAATTTTACTGGATCCCTGTGGAGTTGAAGTTAACGAGAGAGTTGACTTGAAGGCAAAACATTCAATCAAAGTAACCAGAGATAGTCAACTACTACTACCAGTGGTAGATCTTAAAGCCAAATGGTACATAATAGTACATGCGTCCTTACAGTATACACTGACCTCCAAATAAGAATTACCGTATTTACGCATGTATAGGCCGCACATTTTTTGCCAAAAATTCAAGAGGAAAACTGGGGTGCAGCTTATATGCGAAATCACACTTCATTTAAAAAAAATATATATTCATAATTAGTAATACAGGGTGTTCTACTCCTGAAATAATATTCCAAGAAAATTATTTTTTCTATAATTTCTGTCTGAAAATTGTGCTGCGGCCTACACATGCGTAAATACGGTACATATATCTCACTTACCTTTCATGTCAGTGTCATTACAACTTGGGCACCAAGATATGCATAGGCATATCAAGACAGAAACATTTTAACAGAGAGCACCATACATCCATGAGACACTAGTCTGAATTGCTGTTAGCACATTTCATTAAACGCATAAAAACAAATAATTCAATGTCTTGCCACACTGGTTCAGAAAGACTGCATGGAGCAGAAGACAACAAAACCACTGATTCATGTGTTCAACTTCAAACCCACCTGCAACCAATCTCAAATCCTACAAATAAAACATCCTTGGACAAACCTCCATGTAAGTGTGTAATCAATTTCCAGTGCTTCACAGAAATGTCTGCTTCCATTCTGATGAACCTGGAGAACATCAGGTGATCAGGTGTTCTCATCATGTATTTGGTCATGATCAGCTTCATTTAACATGGATAATGTGGAATGAAGGAAGCAGTCCCAGCACTTGTGTCAATGGTTATGCTTTGCTGATGTACACTGGTAGCTAGGTTCTCAGACAGACTTACATTAAATCCCATTTCTCTGATGATATCAGGATGTAACCTGGTCTCAAGGGCCAGTACCATTTTCAAACATAATGCAGTACTGCATACAATTAACTACAGTATACCACAGCAATAACTACAACTACTGAACTACAGTACTCATTGCAACTACAGTATACCCCAGTACTGGCAAGAACTACACATGCCACACTAGCTACAACTACATGCCCACCAGTCCAGCCCTGTTACATCCCAGCAACTTAAACAGGAATACAGGATTTAGTCTAGGCTAATCATGGACCCTGGCTACCAGCATACATCAATGAAGAAGCACCTCAAACACGCAGCCACTAGTAACGTTTGCTAACATCTGAGTCTTCCCACGTTAGAAAATAACAACTGTTGCCCTGGATATAAGTCAATGCCTGACTCCAGCCACTGGTCTCTCCACTAGACCCTTTGCAAGAAGGACACAGATTCCAAGGGCAACTGCATGTATACACTGGCTACATTGCTGCATCACTCACACAATTAATCCCTGATGGTGGATGATGAGACTGCCATTAAAATGGAAATTCATTCATTATTCATACAGCTAATCATCCAATCAAAACAGTTTCACACCCTGTCTACAAAATATTTAAAAAATGATATGGGTACAGTAGGCCGCCTCTGTGGTCTAGCGGTCAGAGTTCCTGGCTACAGATTCCCGACACTACCAGATTTTCTGAGAAGTAGTGGGTCTAGAACGGGGGTCCACTCAGCCTTGTGAGGATACCTGAGGAGCTGTTTCAAGGAAATAGTGGCTCTGGTCTAGAAAACCGAGATTAACAGACGTGGGGAGCATNGGATTTAGTCTAGGCTAATCATGGACCCTGGCTACCAGCATACATCAATGAAGAAGCACCTCAAACACGCAGCCACTAGTAACGTTTGCTAACATCTGAGTCTTCCCACGTTAGAAAATAACAACTGTTGCCCTGGATATAAGTCAATGCCTGACTCCAGCCACTGGTCTCTCCACTAGACCCTTTGCAAGAAGGACACAGATTCCAAGGGCAACTGCATGTATACACTGGCTACATTGCTGCATCACTCACACAATTAATCCCTGATGGTGGATGATGAGACTGCCATTAAAATGGAAATTCATTCATTATTCATACAGCTAATCATCCAATCAAAACAGTTTCACACCCTGTCTACAAAATATTTAAAAAATGATATGGGTACAGTAGGCCGCCTCTGTGGTCTAGCGGTCAGAGTTCCTGGCTACAGATTCCCGACACTACCAGATTTTCTGAGAAGTAGTGGGTCTAGAACGGGGGTCCACTCAGCCTTGTGAGGATACCTGAGGAGCTGTTTCAAGGAAATAGTGGCTCTGGTCTAGAAAACCGAGATTAACAGACGTGGGGAGCATTTACGCTGACCACGTGACACCCTCTATCCACAAAAGTTGGCACTAACTTTGCCAACAAGCAGCGGTGCCTCGGTCAGTATAGTTTGCTTGTGGACTGCAGGCCATGGAGTTTATGGGTACAGTAACTGCTGCTAGCAGGTAAAAGCACTCTGTTCTTTAAGAGGGATGTATGTTGCTGCATATAATTTCAATAATCTCTAACTATTCAATGCAGGTTTCTCATTTATGGTGTAGGCTGACAAATACTTAGGCACATAATGTTTCTTTGTCATCTTCAATGTGTGAGCATCAGACTGGACACTGCGTCCATACTGCATACTGTGGCAGGCAAACCCTCAGGTACTAAATTCTTCCATTTTTATTACAATGGGCATAACATCACATGAACAATTACTGCCTTTTTCCACATCCTTCTATTTTTCTCATAATGTGTGTTGGTCGATATCTCCACCACTGCAACGGAACACAGATGAGTTAACACGATGTCTGACAAACTTGAGATACAGTATATGCTACTCACAGGAAGACTGAGAAACTGAACTTCCAGGCAATGGAGCATACCAGTCTTCTCACATTTCCATTGCCGCGTGGGTTCGTAGTGTCAGCTGGTCCATAATGTGCATCAGTGATTCCTCAATTTGCACTGCTCCATTTTGTTATGCGTGTTCAACTCAAGGTGATAAAAATTCTCAGAAATTGTGGTTGCCAGCTTCGACAGTGTGCTCTCGCCTTTAATCATCTCTGGATATCTCCAAATACCATGGATATTGAAACGTTGATAAGTGCGGTACAGTATCATCTGCTGTTATGGGACACTGCAGGCGCTGATTACAAAGATAAAAAAAAAAAAAAAAAAAAAAAACACCAGGCTTGGGTTGAAGCATTGAAGATTTTATTTGAAGACTATGACAACCAGTCTCAAGACCAACAAAAATTAATTGGTGAGTACAATACCATGCTACAACGGGTACTTTGTATTGTTCTAATGTTATTGTTTACATGCTTTTACATGGGAATATGAAGTTAGGCTCTTTCTTAATCCTCTCAAGCTGCCATGGCAATTTACCACTATCACTAACAAAATATTTAGTCAACATATCTCGAAAACGTGTGGTGTTTTATTTACAACAAAACTACTAACGGTAGGCCTCTCTTCTAAACCACAAAGTCAAGGAATCATCCAAATTGAACCCATCTTGATCACGTACAAAGTTATGTAAAATATAACAGCATTTGACAATGTCAACTGCAAAATCAACGTTTACATCCAGTGGCCTGTGAAATATTCTCCATTTATTTGACGGAATGCCAAAGGAACACATAGTGTCTAGCTCGCGATAATCTGTAGCTGAAGACACGTTTCTGTACTGGCAAATGTGTACCAGAATATGGTCGTAACAGATGCATAGACAATGCAAATGCTTCATCCCCCACAAAAGCAAATGGTACTGCGTCATTACTTCCAGGCAGCTGTTTAGGTGGAGAAATTCTTAGAAGGCCGAGCTCCATTTGTTTCCAATGCGAAGAATTCTTGAATATAGTGGAGTCTGAGCCTTTGCCGAAAGAACCCATGTCAACATAAGTGAACCTGTAACTTGCATCGGCTATTGCCATTAACCCAATGGAAAAATGTTTGTAATTCATGTACAACGACCCACTTCGTTCAGGTTTAACTATACGGATATGCTTGCCGTCAGCTGCCCCAAGACAGTTGGGGAAAGATGCTGTATTTTGAAAATCTTGCGCAATTCTAGCCCATGTGGCCTCATTTGGAGTATGAAAGCATTCTTCTTTCAGTACGTGCCAGATAATTTGACAAACTATTCGTACGACTTGACTGGCTGTTGATCTACCTACTCGATAGCTGTAATGTAGGTATTTGAAACTGCATCCACTTGCAAGGTACCTGGAAAGGGAAAAAACTACTACAGAAAGAAAGAAGTTAGTGCATATCAAAAACCAGACTGTCTAATTTAAAAATAAACATATGATAGAAGCAATTTAAATTGTATTTTCTTTTATTTTTCTGCTGTTTTAGTGCAAGATGTGGCATAAAAACTACGTTACAAACCTAAAAAAAAATCCATAAAATCAGGTTCCAAAGCCAAGAAAGTGAAAACATACACCTACGGTGAGCAATTATCCTTTCTAAAGAAATCTTTGGAACCAAGACCTACATGTAGTACCATGGACACTCAACCGGACTCACCCGAAAACGAATGTGGAGATAGTAGCGAAACTGAAGAAGACTGCCATACTCCTACTACCAATGAAACAATGGTTCCTCCTCAACAGCTCCCATCTTCACGTAAAAGAAAGTTAACAGATGTTGAACGTTGTTTCATTACGGTTATGGAAAGTCACAGCACGAAAAAGGCAACACCACAAGAAGATGAAGATTTAGCTTTTTTCTACTCTATTTTGCCCACTGTTAAAACACTGATGCCAAATGAGAAATTCACATTCAGGATGGAAAGTATGAAACTTCTACAAAACCTAAAACAAGCCAGATCATTTCCTCTGACCCTTACTCCCTACCAAGGTACAACTCTTTTATAGACCGTCAAAACACAACAAATAGATAAAATCAGGGCTTCGCTACATGTTTCAGCCACTAACGGCCATCATCAGGCAAACACATATCAACAAACATACACCATTGAACTGCTGTACAATAGATTGGATACAATGTTAAAATACTTTGTGTAAAAATATACACATATATACATCGCTACACATCGCGACCACCATCGAATACATCGGCTGCTTCATTATTTTCAAACTTATCACCGAACACGGAGGCTTCAAGTGATTATAGTTGAACCATAAGAGTTGGCTACTGCTATGCAATGATTCACTAATTACATTCCCATGGTGACGAATATGCACACAATAGAAGAACTGGTGGAAGTCATGTTTTACATGCAGTCCCCACTGAAGTCATATGAGGACCAAAAGGACCAGGACAGTCAGAGCAGAGTCTTGGTGCACAAAGTAAGACCATGCTGGTGAGGGCCAGCAGAAATTTACCAGAACAGACCAGGACTGTAATCCGTATTGTGGCATATAGACCTGTTGCTGGGCAGAGACCTTGAAACGGACGAGTACAGTCGTTGCTATGCAAGAGGCAGATAAACACTCATTCTTAGGAAATGACTCGATAAACGGGTTCCAGCAACAATAGATGAAGTGACGTGAACTACCTGGTTAGTGAGTGACAGAGTTCAGATGCAGTTCAGTTCAGTTGAGAGTCAGCTTGTAAGAAGACTAGGTAGTTGGTGTGAAATGGCTGCCAGCCTGGGACTCAATTAGCTGTCAGATGACAAGAATCCTGCATGGACAGCTGTGGCAAGAGGACCTGAGTGCAGGAAGCTGTAGAATTACCACTGGTAGAAGCTGTTGCCAGGGAACGGCTAGTGGAGACTGTAATACACTGAGGACACTAGTCTGTGAGTGTCAGTCATCTGTAAAGTGTAGTTCCGAGTGGGGTATACAAGTGGTCAATAAATCCAATGACCGATGTATACCCTGTCTATAGTCACTACAATGTGACAATATGTAAGTGCAAATGGACATGCATGGGAAGCATAAGACACTTAAACTTGGTGGCAGTCAGGCCTACAACAATTCAAGTCACTAACTGCTGTTTTAGAGTGGATAAATAAGTTAAGGCATAGCCTGCTGCATTGACAGAAGTCATCTGTATATGTTGCACAGATATTACTCATTGTATAATGCGACAAAGTGTGTATGGTGTCCATAAAGTACTGATGCCCTTCCCTGGATGCTGTGCGAGTACAGGTACACTTGTGCTGAATTATGGTGCAACAAATGTGGTGCCTATTCAGAAAGACCAACTATTCCTCCATTGAAGAGGATCACCCATTTCAGAACATATACGATGGGGTACGCAAAAGAAACCGAACTAATTTTTTTGTGGGCAGAGCTTTTGTAGTACCGCGTTTTGCAGCTATGAGCGCATAGAGCTAACATTCCTGAGTCAATAAGCCGACTACCGTTGTTTCAGAAGGTAAGGACTAGTTTCGGCAGAGTTTATAGTGACAACTGTTTTGTGTCATCGTCGTTTTTGCAATGGCTGATTTTTGTGAACAGCGTGCAGCAGTGAAATTCTGCTTTTTGCTCGGGAAAAGTGGAACAGAAATTCCTGAAATGTTAAAAACGATGCTATGGGGAAAACTCAAGTGTTTGAGTGGTTTTCCTGTTTCAAAAATGGTGAAATGTCAATTGATGACAAACCTCATTCTGGTCATCATTCCACGGCCCGAACACATGAAAATGTTGAAAAATTTCGTGAAATCATCAAGGAAGATCGACGACGGACCATTGAAGAAATTGTGGAGCTGTCGGGAGTGACTTGGAGCTCAGTTCAGCGAATTTTGACAGAAGATTTGGGAATGAAAAGGGTGGCTGCGAAATTCGTGCCACGACTGCTGACTGCTGAACAAAAACAAGGTCGCGTGGAAGCATGCTGTGCTTTGAAAGAAGAGTCCCGAAATGATCAAAACTTTTTTTCAGCGTTTTGCTGATGTTGCTGAGGTGAAGGAAAAAAACGACGGAGGCGCTGTCAAGCATCTCAAAAGATGAATTTAGACAATGTTTTGAAAAATGGAATAAAAGACTAGACAAGTGTATTAGTGTAAGTGGAGAGTACTTTGAAGGGGATTGGAGGTTTGTGCTTAAAATTTGAATAAATAAGTTTAAAAAAAATAAGTTCGGTTTCTTTTGGGTACCCCCTCGTAAGTGGTCTTGGAATGAAAAAAGGTACGGTCATGATCATGGCTCTGCTCAGGGCAGTCTGTCATGAGTCACTAGTCAGCACTCACAGTTGGTGGTTAGCTATGAGCTTGGAAGCAAAGGAATCTCTACTGTTAGAAGCCACTACCAAGTAACAGATAGTGAAGACACAGCAGACTAAAACTTAGATGTGCTGTAGTTACTCGTACAGTATGTAAATTAGTGAGAGTACTATGATTATTTGTAGTTATAAGCAATAAGCATTCAATAAATTCAATATATTATCCCACAAAACAAAATTTATGCAACATCATAATTTGTAGCTGATGACTGACATGATTACTGATACAGAAACTTGTGAAAACTGAATGGCAAAATCAGACGATATGTAGCCCTCCTAATAGAAGTCCTCTTCAGCAAATTTACTGGAGCCCTGCTGATTCTTGATCTGCTCCTGGCTTCCATAGAGTTCAGCCACCTGACAACACAACATAACCAAAATTACTGATACATGAATTTGATAAATTCTCATACCAAGTCACACAGTGTATTTATAAATTCCATATGCTTAGTTCATTATCTTATAATAATAAACACACATAAACAAAGACAAAATTGTAATCAAAACTTGCAACAAGATATATGATTACAGCTACTGCACATTTCTTAGTCATATAAATTCATTAATAAGAGGACAAGGTGTGAGTCAAAAGGAATTCCTTCTACATCATTTTGAATTAAAGAGTACTGTTGATGAGATGCCTTGTGGTGTGGTAGAAATGTACCAACACTTCAAGCAATGAACTGTTACCATCTTCAGGGCGGAAGAAATGGTAGCATTGTTTTCCTCCAAAACGTTGGTACCTCTATATGAAACTAGTGTCACATTTCAGAAGACTGCAATTTCAGTACTATCATCAGAAGTGCAAATCTCACACAGTGACCTTACTTTAAAATGAAAGGAGAGGCACTTAATTTTGAGGACAAGCTTTTATATAGTTCCAGACTTGTTTCTGATAAGACTGTAAGGTTGGCAGCTTGTGTGAAGATCAAGATTTTGTCTCATGTTGACTGCGTAACATCTCAGTTTGTCTGAAACACTTCTAAATTGTCAATTATAAAAGTCATCTGAGATAAATACTCACTGACTAGGGGTACTACAGGGAACTACATGACTCTTCTGTGGGCACTTCCTATGATTCTAGTAGCTTTCTTTTGTACAGGGACATTTTACTGCTGTCAGAAGTTTGTGTCTGAAGTACTTTACAAGAAAGTCGTGTCATTTCATGTCAGGCATAAGGAGAGGAATGCAAAACCCCAACTTACCATACCATTCTGAATGTGTTTCAAATGCATATGAAATGATATTAATTGACATCAAAATTTCAAACATGTTTTCCTGCAGCTCTCGAAAACTTGAACAATAATACAGACAAGAAAAGGGGCTTGGGAAAGTATTACATAGAACAGCAAAACTTGCAGATAAGAGTCTACGTAATTACGAACCAAGGCAACATAAACTGTGGTTTGATGATGAATGCTCAATATTATTATTAGATAAAATGATGGAGGTTAAATTGCAATAGCTGCAAAATACAAGTCAAATTAATTAATGGAGATAATCCTAAAAGTAACAGACACTTCAAGACAGCTGGACAGTGTGCTTTGTTTCCATTTACAGATTCTTGCCATTTGGCTTACACTTGGTCCAGTCCCACACTTCACTACCCTCATGTTTGCACTCACTTATCAGTTAAGAGGCCAGCTACATTGTGTAAAGAAGCTGCAACAGAAGCATTACTTGCTGATTGTGAAGTATGGTACAATCACCTTGAAATTAACTGCAAACCTTTGGGGCCAATCAGGCGGAAGTGTCAGATGCTCCTCTAATCTAGCTAGGCTATGGAGATTCAGACTGCCAGTGTAATCAACGTACTGCCTAATGACCCACAAGTAAATGTTGTCCAGTTCACACCAGATGCCAAAGATACCCCCTGTATTTGTCACTGTCAGTATAGTCTTCAAGCCAGAAACTGTTTCATTGTTACTGGACAATAAAAGAAAACAATTCAAAGCAGCAAGCATTCACTGAGGATGAATCAGTACTAGAACTCCCTCCAGACAAATATAGAGAGCATTCTCTCTGATTTCATCTGTACCTACTCTGTTCACTGTGATAGCCTACATGGGAGGAGAAACCAACATTTTTGACCTAGAGGCTCAACTTCTGTGGAACCATGACAGAGTATCAGGTTATAATGAGCAGCTGGCAGAAGGGCTCTTTGCTCAGTACAAGAGTTCTGTTGAATGCAGTGTGTCACACGACAGTGTCATGTGTCAATGTGCTGCATTTCTTTAAGAAAATACCACCAGCTGAGAAGATGTGCCATGTGTGCAAACAACATGGAATAATCAGTCCAAAGACAGCGCACACATTTTCTCATATAGAATTTACTGTGACTGTTATCCTGGAAACAAAATAAATTGTTGTTCAGTAGACCACTGTTGGCCACTGATTTATACGACAGAAATGTATATATTCGTAACAACTATTAATTGTTTCATGCATGCCTGAGGAATCTCAGCCTTCTATTACACTGAAATAAACAGTTCATAAAATATATTTACACCCTTAAATATGGTATTAGAGTAAAATCCACAAACCATTCATGCCATTCTTTTCAGAAAACTGATACTTCGTATTTGGGCCCCTAGTGTGCATACCATTATTTTCCTGCAGCTTCATTTGGGGCAATGGCTTCCATAAATTACTGAAATGTATTCAAAATCTTTACAGCCATTTTCATGAATATCACTAATTCTTTTCTGAGGCCCATTTGAAGTATCCCTAACAGAAAATTATGCCTTTTCATCTCTTTCATGCCCCAAAATGATACCTTCTAAAGATGTATTGAAATATAAAGAACTGTTAGTTTTCTGGACTTTTCTCATCATCTGGTATTCTAGAAATTAGAAAACATGACATTTCAAAAACTGGATCTGTTTCTGTCCTCAGGTGAGGGGTGGGGGGAATACACCTACTCAGTTGTGTCCCATAGAAAGAGCTTGTAAGATGTAAATAGAGCTGAATGTTACAGCATTAGCGAGTTAGTGAGCTGGTCTGAAAAGTGGCTGACATACTCATGAAAGGGTAATGAAAGCAGTTACTGAACATACAGATCACTTCTTGATGGGCCAAAGTCAGCTTCACCAACTGTGACAAGAACATCCAAGTGAGAGCTGAACATGCTTTAAGCAATAAACTGACAGGCTGAGACCTTGCCAGCTGTATTAGTACAAAGTTATTTCTTGTATCGTTATGACTGCATCTGAAAGTGACTTACTGCAGTATGTGTCAGCTTTCTTCATAGTTCTATTCTTATGAAACATTCAGAAATCTGTTTTGAGTTATCATCTATAGTATGCAGCTGAAATAGTGAAAAATACACTTGACTGGGTTTTTCTGTATGATACCCATGTGGATGCATTTTTGTAACTGCTTTCTAAGGGCAGTACATGAAGGTTTTCTCAACTGAAGCTTGGCTCCATCTCTGTGGTTATATCAATCCCCAGAACAATAGGTACTGTACCAGTATTAATCTGAGACAGACTTCTGAAGTGCGCCTCACATTCAGAAGATTCATGCATGATGTACCATTACTGCTACATGAACAGTAGGACCCATACTTTTAGAACAGACTACTAATTCAGAGCAGTATGCCAGTGATATTTCATGGCCCTCTTATGGGATCAGTACAGAAGAAGAGAGTATCTTTTAGTTATTTTGTGCAAGATGGTGCTACAGTAGACATTTCAAATGAGGTGTCTGAAGACATTATGTTGCTGCAAAGTCTTTAGACTTACATCTACCCTGATGGTGACTACTTCTAACATTTTATTTAGGTTAAGAAATACACAGCCATTTTTATAATGTGCAGCATATCAGCAGCAAGTTCTTAGACTGTTTTCTTGGCAAATGATGGTTAAGGTTCTGGCTAACAGGCTGATGGTACGAGAGTCAGGCAATTCAGCCCCCTGAGAGAGAGACACTGTATTTTGAAGCTACAAGGATGCTATGTAACTGTGGCACAAATTCTATTTAAAATACAGATGGTAAGAGAGCCTATGAAACTAAGAACATTGTTACATCTCACACATTGTAGCAGTGAATACAAGAAAAGGGTGGATGTGCATGAGGGACATAATACAATATTTATTACAAAACAAAACATCAAACACAATCACCTGTGATGCTGTGGTAGCATCTTCAACTGCTTTATCATCACGAATCCTGAGAAATCGAGGAAATCTTAATGAGATTCCTTTCACAGGATCCACCTAAAACAGAGGAAAGTCAAGATTGCAGAGATCATTCCAATACAGACAGCAAATTTCCTGTTCTGGATAACTGATCTAATGCTTTTGGTCTCATACAGAATGTAACAATTGCATTGAATTATCATGTTATGGATGAATGAGAATTTCATAGAAGACACAAATCAAGAAGTCCAAGCATCGTTCCTCCTCATGAATCCAGTTTTTCTTACATACTCAGACTGCTGGGATTTATAAAATTGGACACCACAGTATGTTACTGATTACCCTCGGCAATCATGAGGAGTAGCAGTGTGGATGATCCAAATACCACATTTAGTAGAATAAGAGATGAATATCTCTTTCATACCTAAAAACTCAAGAACAAAGACATGTGAGTCTGGTGCTAACTGTAACAAGAATTCTGACAAATCTAATGGAACATTACACAGAAATTGTTGAAACACAATTTTGTATGCAGTGCTAACAAAAAGACATGTCTCTATTTGAAATACAGCAAAGAAAAAATACCCTTGGTTACTGCCGGGCAAATATACATTAGTAGCACTGAGAGGAAATATTTGTGATCATATGCATCACAAATGACATCACTGTAGAAGAGATATAAAAACCCTGTTAAACTCAGATCTGCTTAATACAGTTAGCTTCCAACACTCAACCACAGACAAGGTTCAACACAAAATCCAAGCCAGCAGCCCATACCAAGGATGGGTAACCCACATACAGAAAACTTTCATATACTGTATATACACCAATATATATAAAATTATATACAGCAACTCTACAAGACACAAAAACCACAGTCACCTATAATATCACAAACTTCATATGATGACCACNCTTGCAAAAAAAAAAAAAAAAAAAAAAAAAAAAAAAAAAAAAAAAAAAAAAACATTGAAAACTACAGTAACTAGTTATTCATTTATAATTAAATAAATGCAAGCCAGCCATTCATGCATAAGGATGATGCTTACAATTCCAACGGCAGCTCGATGGACAGGAGACAGAGACAAGTCAGCACACTTTATTTCCCAGACCTGGACCACATCAAACCAATGGTCTGGTTCATGCTGGCTGTCATACCGATAGTATGGCCGTGGCTGTGCTATCACATGTTGCTTGAAGAACTCTGTGTGTTTCTGGAGATCTTCATCACTGAATCCTGTGCCAATCTGTAAGCAACATTTAAGGCTATGCTACTAGTGAACCACGAGCCACGGTAGCTGAGTCAGTCAGGCTGATTCCTGGTAGGGACATAGCCCCCTAGGGTTTACTGGATTCGTAACTTTGTCTATCATTTTATATTCCAAGCAGCTGCAGAAACTGGATCTGTTCCTGTTTTCCGATGGAAAAGGAGGGGGGGCATCTATTTGGCTGGGTCTGTCAGAATGAACTAGCTAGAGACAAGATCTTTCTAAATCATGGACACGCATCACATATTAAAGATCAAAATCGCTGATCTACTCACACCTAGTGGGACAGAAGAGAAGAAAAACCAAGGACTTGGGCACTGACAGTGGCAATGACAATGACATGCAAATTACACGTCTTTTCACAAAATAAAAAGACCTATACCACTCCATGGTTCTCATTTTGGCTACTGCTGTTCCCCACTCACCCTGCACAAACTTTGGTACTCTTCACTCTCTCGATCATAACAGGCTAACAGGAAACCTCCGTATGTTCCTGCCCGCTTCCCATGCCCCAAGTAGCCTCCCAGGACCACCACGTCCAGTGTATCTCCAACACCTTCAAGGTAATCCTTCTTCAGCTTCAGCCAGTTTCGTGACCTTTTGGCAATTTCATACGTCGCATCTTCTTCCAGTGTCTTCACCATTAGACCCTCACAGTTCCCTGCCAATTGACAAAAGTGTGGCAAAAGTTCAGAAACATGTTGATTAATGGACAATCTTGGCTTTACACTTTCCCTGCATTCAGTTCTACTTATGAATGCATACACACACCCCCATACACATGCACACACAAAAGCTGAACCATTACAATACCATCAGTGATGTTTCTCAGCAAGTGAAACAGTCCCCTGAGTTGTAACACCATGCAGCTCAAAGCTTTCTCTGAAATATGTAGCATTACAACCCAGAAGACTGTAGTCTTCATAGTCATTGGTGTGAGAACCTCCAATCCAAAGTCTCTCTCGGTGTTGAGTACTGCATAACAAAGTGGAACAATGCACAGTGTAACCGCATCATCGAAATCCTTCCCCCTTTTCTTTTGTTTCAGCAGCTAATAGAGTTAAAAAATTCCAGGATATGAATAAATCTGTGAAGATTTATTCATATCCTGGAATTTTTTAACTCTATTAGCTACTGAAACAAAAGAAGAGGGGGAAGGATTTATGAAGAAACAAAGGTTTAAGACACACTGTAAGAACAAGGAACAGGCAATGAGCAGATAGACCAAACTTGCGCGGACAAGGACATCTGCTAGTCCTTGTGGCCGAGCATCTGGTGTTATTTTCCAAAAGGGCAGAAAGTGATACTTCAAGAAACCCCACTGAGTTTCTTTAGAAATGTAGAATTAGCCTTACAGTGGCAAGACAATTTGAGAATATGATAAGTGACAGTTTCTACCAGCCATAAGTCAGAAGTGGGAGTGTCAGGAGATCATTAGCGACCCCTCATAAGTTGCATCGCTGTCAATTTCGCCGTTTTGTCTTTTAGCGCGAAATTCTCTTAAAAACAGTCTGTCATTAGCCGGAACCAAAATTAAGCCAACTCCCCTTATTTGAATCGACCTATCAGGGAAATTAGGAGAGGAGAATAGGCAGATACAACTCAGTTAAGACCTCTGGCTCAGCAGAGAGTTCAGTCTAAGATTTTTAGTTGTCTATCAACTTTTTTGAACTTGGCAGAGGCAAACCCCGCATCACTCACACTAAAAGGTAATTCTAAGAAGTACAAAATTTTCTCTCATAATGACTCATATTGAGATTTAGCTTAATCAACATGAGCGCAGCACCAAGGAATTTGGCGAGCTGATCGAGTGCATTTTAGTGAAAGTGCAACATCTGCTGCTTGTTAGCCGAAACTATATCAAATTGTGAGAATTTATGCAGCCAAGTGTCTTTAAGAAGAAGAAGAATAAAGTGTTGTGGTGGTACAGTGAATCGTGTTGATCAGAGGTGTTTCACCCTCACTTGTCCAAGCCTGACCCGTATTCGACCTGAAGAGAGACTCATCTCCACTAGCTAGACAAACCCACTGTCAGCTTTCACATGCTCACTCCTTCCCCACTTACTATGAATCATAAACAGTCTCTAGCTGTTTGCTGGCGCCCATATTATCCAAATCCTGAAACCCAAACACTAATAATCTCAACTAAAGGAAGAAGCGGTGGAGCCGGGTCAAGCCGAAACAAGCTACAACCCAGCAACTTCAGCGGCGGCAACACCAGGTAGGGCAGCATCAAAGTAGTCATCGGAGCAGAGGGGCCAATCGCTATCAACTTCCACTCCCTGCACTACTATTCAGATGGAGCCACAGGCAGAAGGTAGGATGGACAGTTACAACAGTTCCATTATCATTCTTCATCAGAAAAACTTTGATACTGGGTACATGCCAAATTGCATAAGACTGAACTCAGTTGAAGCTAATAAGCTTATGTGAGGTAATGCATAACGACAAACAGTGATGATGAGCCTTTCAGGATCTGAAACGCACATGTCAAGGCAATCAAAACTGAATCCAGTGAAAGTGCACAGGCAAGGTGTACTTCTACTGATAGCCATAAAGTATGGAAGAAATAATGGTCAGTTCCATGTACACTTGTGTTTGCAGGGGACACATGCCTCAAGGAAAACACTGTTGTCTTACATGTCATGTTACTCTGTAGTCAAACAGCCAACCCTAAGTACTGTTTTAGAAAGGAACAAGAGAAGGAATGATAATAGGACAGAAAGGTATGAGTGACAGAAAAGGAATATGGGAGAAAGAACAAGATAAAGGGATATGACAAAGGAATGTAAAAGGATGAGGAAGTATGTCACTATAAAACTGAGACTATACAGTGTCAACGAGAGGATGTTTAATGAATGTGGAGCAGTTGATGGAATGAGAATTGGCACGGGAAACTGACAGACGTATTCTTTGTACACATAAGTGTTCATGATTAAGCAAAATGTAGCAGAGGGAATGGCACTCGGCATTGGGAACAACCACTTGTGTCCTATTAACAGTCTGTAACTGATTTAATTTTGGAGTCTTTTGTTGAAGTTAATGTCCACAATTGCACTTACCGACTGTACTAGCTAATCAGAGTAGGAGTTTTACACAGGCTAGGGAGGATGCAGACATGGCAAAGCCAACAGGCACATTTTTCCAACTTTTCATTGAGAATGTGCAAAAAAAATTACCTTTAACAGATTCTTCCAAGAAGTCTTGGACTTCTTCCATAGTTGAGGTATCAATACTCGTGGCAAACCTAAACTCTCCTTCCACTTCATGGAACGTTTCACGAAGCAGGTTGCGTCTTTTGAACAAAGGCTCTCGTACAAATGCCTTCCCGTTTAAATATAAGAGGTCAAACATGAAGACACAAACCTGAACTTTTATCTCCGCTTCATTTGCATCCTGAAAATTGTAGGGGAAAGAACATTAAAGTGAAATCACTTAAACAAAAGTAAGTGGAGCACTGAAACAACACAAGACCTGTCTTTTTTTTAGAAAATGAGACAAAAACATAGCGATAAACTCCTCCGACTTACTGTGCAGACTTTCTTGGTTATTTAATGTCGCTATGCCAAACTACCTGGTCACAACAAAGGCTGGACGATAAGACTTCCCTCCACATTGCAACTTCCTCACTCCCCGTCCGACTTCACAGCCTAATTTTACCTTGCCTGATATGTCTAATGTTTTTTTATTTTTTATGCATACTTTGAAAAGCGCTTAAAATGAGCATGAAATGTCTGTCCACATCAATCACCTCAGAAACTAATGAACCAACTTCAATTAAGTTTTGGCTCTGCATATCCACATTAAAAATTCTCAAGTGAGTTTTATAATTTTGATTCATACCAATACAATGGAATGCTTAGTTTAAAAATGGAGCATAGAACAAGCTTAAAGAAAAACAGCTCACTGTACAAACATTTGGCAAATCAGATAAACATACATTAAGATCTACACCTTTTTGTCTGAAAAAATTCTGTATGATAAATACATCAGGAAATGTAAGAAATTATAAATGCTGTCTTTGTGAAGTATGAACAACTTCACGACTGACTGTTGTTTGAAATAACAGAACGTCACAGACACTGAAATACATAAAATCACAAAGACTGCATCTGAAAAGTATGTGTACTCCAGTTTGGAGGTATAACTTTTCAGAAACTACACTGTACTATAACATCAAAACAACAATGTCACCTTTCTTTTGCGGGTGCTAAGGACTTGGAATGGCAAGATATGCTGTTTCTCCTTGTCCCATGCCACAGCTTCACAGTCCAAGATGCATGAGGTGACATCTTTGCCCAGTGCCTTATGAAAGTGCCCAATAATGTCTGGATACTTGCTGGTGTTGTTTTCTTGATTGCGACTGTAAATAGTTACGGCTCCATCTTCTGCGAGGTGTATCTGAAATGTGGCACTACTGATACATCCAGCTCATTTTCACATCAAAACATTTCTATTATGAAAACATTTCGGTCCATGATGCCTAAGAATTCTTCAAATGCAAATTATGGTGACAATGGGAGCATAACTAGTTGACACTGGTGGGAGATTTAAAATACTAATGTAGGTCTCATGTTTGTTTATACCTAAATCAAAGGAGAGACCCTCCTCCTTTAAAAACATAAATACCTGAGCACGTTCACCATCGTACTTCCATTCACAAGTGAACTTGAGATCCTCAAATCGATGTAACACCTCCTGCACACCTTTAGTAGGATGTGCCAACATTGGTTTCAGGGGGATTCCTGGAGTGAGGTGGCAGTGGTTGGGGAGAGCCCTGATTCCTTTCTCAAAGAGCACTGGAATTATCCTGTTATAATTTGGACACTCACTGTAAGAAATAGAAATAAACATAATTATATTGGAATTGTCTTCTGGGATGTGACATCGTGTTGTCTAGTAGACAGGTGTCATGTTTTGGAGGAGCCTACTGCCTCCATTTCCACTTCTCTTTTCCTAAAGACAGTCCATTCCTGTGAAATAACGATACTTATCAGACTGCAAGGTGTCACATCCCAGAAGACCATAATCTTAATATTCAGCATTGGTTGGTTGGTTTATAATGCTGCAATATGACAATTAAGTCATCTGTTCTTTTGACCTCAACTGGCTGGTATATTTGTAACTCAATTTCTATTCAGATACTATCTGGGTCTGTTACATCATTCAGTTGCCCAGCATACTTCAGTCAGGTTGGGAGATCTTTTTGAGTCATTTCCACTCCTGTCCACCAGAGGTTTCTGCAGTCATGTGACTGCAGTGACATCTAGGAGCAGAATGGGAAGCTTTGTGGGCAACCAAATGTAGCGTCCAACTTTCCATTCACTCGTCTGTTATCATGGGTGAAAGGTTCTTTCTATATGCAGTAAATGTATGACATGGGACTCTCAGCTTTACTTCCCTTCTGAAGCAAGTTGTGCTACAGATTTTTATCACCCTTTAAATTCCACTGACCTTGGCCAGGTTTGAACTGAAATCACAACCTCAAACTTCATTATTTCACACTTTTATATCTCTGAAACTAAATCGTGGAAAGAAACAGAGAAACATGTTCATATGGCTATATGACACTACTGCAAAACTGTTTTTACATTATTTAACTGTGCTTTCACAACTACACTGGTTATGTAAGGTTAGATGGAGAGTGAATGTGAATTATGAACTGGTAAACACATGAAGAACTTCAGTCATGATAGCCAGCCTTCAGACTAAGAATCAATCCCAGGAAAAGTGCCAATATTTGTTAGCTGTCAAGAGAGAGAAGTTGTGCAGATTGGAGACAGAAGCACAATGAGCTTGAACTCATTCCCAGTGTTTACAGAAGTTCACGTTCATGCTTTCAGAGTATGAGAGAACAGTCTTAGCATGAAGACATATCAGGTGCATTGCCTTCCTGTGTTACATACTGATGGCCACTTCACCACTGTAGTCAAGGAGATGAAAAATTTCAAAGATTTCTGTAACAATCTGTCTGAAACAGTCTTCTGTAGGACTGTAGGCTAAATAATACACTGTGTGGGAAGAATTTATTAATGGTAAAACAAATGGTACATATAGTTACCATTGGTATTTAAAGCCTTAAAATGTAGCCCTAATTGAGCAACAGAGCCCAAAAGTAAACTCTGGTGTCTGAATTTTCATAGCAGATGCAACATAATATCCCATCAAAACCTGTATATAACATCCTCCAAGTTCAAGTAAGGGCCATTATATGGGTCTTACCTATAAGTAGCCTTCAATATAAGTGCTTCTTCATCCACTTTAGCCTTAAATGCATCCTGTGACATACCCTTAGCTGCATTGATAACTGCAGGGGGGTACGGCTGCTCTGGGGGTGTGGTAGCGCATGCAACAGCAAGAGCCTAAAACAAACAGAGAAATCAGATCTGAGGTCTTGAGGAGGGCCAAGATTCATATTGTGGTCTTATGGGTTGAAATCATGCAGCCTGGTAGGTGGCAGCATGGCTGCAGAAGAATGTACTGCCTTCACATCTAGGGCACAAGTACTTCTTCTGACACTGACCTTTGTGTTCATACAATTTCTTTATTGAAACCGTCACAACACAACTATATTAAGGTCAGTGCCTAGCCTGGTTCTGCTACATGTTTCGGCTATTAAAAGCCATCATCAGGCAAATACATGGCTAACATATATACACCACAGAACTGCAGTACTAATAAAACTGGATACAATATTAATTATATTAAAATACTTGGCGTAAAAATACAATAAATTAGATTATATAAATCAAAAGTTATAGTATAAAACAAGAATAAAAATCTTCAAGTGATGCTTTACATCATCGAGTCAGTTGGTTTTAGTGATTTTGTTGTGTTCCCATGGACAAATTGGAGCATTCTATATTTTGTGTATATACAATAAACTGTTTTGGAGGCTCGTGATGTAGATGTAGTAATATTAATGTTAATTATTTAGTCGGTGCCTCATCTTACAAAGTATTGTCCGTTCTGTAGGGAATGTAAACGACTTTGTGTTGATGTTAACATTATCTCACCCTCTTATTTTGAATATGTTGTACTGCACAATTAGACAATTACTCTCTAAGATGTACAACATTTTGAGTCAGTCTTAAGCAGTCTATGCTTGGGAAAGTGCATTACACATCAGTCAAACACGAGAAGAGGCCGGTCACTTACTGAGTTAACAGACACGCATCCTGCGTAAGAAGAGAGCATCACAGATGCTGCTAGAAGATACAGAGAAAAACATCGTGATAGAGAGTGCCAAATCATTTTACCTTCCTTTCTGTTGACCACTGAATCTGAGAAATGGAACATTTCATGGAATACAACATGTTGGCCATCCAAGTTCTGTATGCAACGTACTGCCATATGACTGAGTGATGGTAGACCAGGTTTGAATTGCTAACTGAATTTACTGAACACTTAAGTAAAAGTATCATTGTAACAGGCCATGGAGGTCCATAGGGTTGTGAGATGTTGAGGTTCCCACATTTTCTAGACAATCGGCTCATAGATGGCAGCAAGCTTGTCAGCCCTACACACCGGCCACCCTTTACCCCCAAGAATATTCCAAGAATATTCCTGGTACTCATTTCTGTTAGAGGCTGAGTCGATCCCGGGCCATAGTGCGGCTGGAAGGATTAGGTCAATTTAAAAAAAATCCAATGACCTCGTCGGGACTTGAACCCGCAACCTTCCAGCTTGTAGCATAGTGCCTCAAACTTACACTTGTAAATACAAATAACGACAGTCTCACTGAGTTATTCATTTCAAACATCACTGTAACTACATCACACATAAAGGTTTCTCAGTCCTCACTAGCCACTGCTTGGTAGCGGCTTCCAACAGAAGACGTTCCCCTTCCTCTGGGTTCCTGAACTGTCACTGGCCTCAGCTACCAGCTTCTCACTTCTCACAACAGCAAAAGTTTCATTCATGGATGAAGTGTGTGTCCCTATGGCTGGATCACCAACATTCACAGTAAATATGTGTTGTCAGTTAAAAATGTTCACACAACTTGTGGCTTATGTCACACCACGCTATTAGCAAAACCATGGTGATTTGTGACAGAACAGCAACTTTTGACAGAGCTGTCTCGAACTGTTCATGAAACATGAACATCTTGACACACTCTGTCTATGTCTGGTTATACTGGCATATGTGGACAAAGTTTATAATATTCATCTTAAAGGAAACATAGTCCCCATGCCTAAGTGCAATACCATGAAGGCATACAGAAAGCACGGAAGTTCATCTAAACACACATTCAGACACGTAAGAGGCAACTCTTACCTGCAGCACAGACTGTTCAGCAAGACCGATACGCAGCTTGCCAGCAAGGGAGCGGATGAGGAAACGGGCCTCTGAATGTCGACATGCCACAAACATTGCTTGAATCTTGTCCACTTTCTTGCTCATTGCCTAAAATCATAAATTGGAACCATCTGCAGACCACAAGAAAATATAATGTGTAGATGTAAACCACCTGTCAAATATAAAAATCCCGCTCATTTAGAAGGCCAAAAGCTATAAACACAACACATGCTGAGCTATCAGTGCACAGTTTTATTCAGTTTATGGCTTATCCACATGCCTCTTTTAGGCATGCTCACAGCCTAGCAGGGCACCCACTGAGTTCACTCAGCCCACAGATTGACCTGACATCTGCACAATGTCCTTCAGCTTGCTGTTAACACCCTCTGAATGGTAAGTTTTGTGTTGTTATACTCACATATTGACCAGACATCTGCACAATGTACTTTAATTTGCTGAACACGCCCTGAACAGTATGTTTTTTGTTGTTTATACTCACAGATTGGCCAGACATCTGTGCAATATCCTTCAGTTTGCTGAACACACTCTGAACAGTAAGTTTTGCAGGCTGGAATATCATACACTGATTGCTGCGACTCTGTTCAGCCACAATACCCAAATCTCCAGTGTTATTAACATCTGTCTTGATTTGAGCAATAGTTCTTCCTGTACTCTGTGCAATAGCCTTCATGAGAGTTGTCTCTGCTATGCCAAGCTCAATACCTTAAAGATAAAGAGAAATTGTTAAAATTAAAGGGGTTAACAAGGAACTGCTGTTTAACACACTGAATTTCACTGAAACATATCAGTCCTATACTTGCAGCAGTTATGGTGGAATTAAGCAGTGCTTTTTGAAATCTTTCTGTAGCATGAAGTCATCCATGCTATTATGTTATTTCAGCTCTCATTTGGTATGCATTAGTCAAATTTTCAAGATAAAAATCAAACTGAGAGAAACCATACTACAATTCTGATTTACACACTGATTTCTCAGTCTCAAATTCAAGAATTTTCAAATAATTCCTTTTGCTTTGCACAGTATCATGCAAATTACCCAATCCATCACAACTGCAATGGTTGGTGAAAATATGTGGAATCAACTTGTCAACAATATCTCTCTCTTTCTGCTCACGGTAAAAAAAAGGGACATTGTCCTAAAACTGAACTTTTTAATACGACTTATTAAATGCTTTTCAATGAAAAAGGATTTGACACTAAAAGGGATAAGTAGTGCACTTTTAGTATACCCCAAAAAAGTGACTAGTATTATAAATTGAAAAAAAAGACTTTTGCAGAGAAAACCCTTATTCTCATCTCTAACCTCAAATTTTTCCAGAATGTCTCATGCAGAAAACATAATTGCAACATATGCACATTACAATTCAGCATGTAGTATTGTTATTAAAATACACTGGTCAAAGAAGATGTGCATGCTTCTTGGCTTCTAAAAACTTCAAGCAGACCCCTATAAGTGGCTGCACACAATTTTCTGAATGTGCAGCTATGAATTTTTCATCAATTGATATGAAGTTTTACTTTAAGAACAATATTAAATCTATAACTGTTAAATCATGCTTTCATTTTGTGGTTACATGGTTATGACAAAGTACAGTCTGATAGGTGGGTGCCAACATAATAGACCAATATAATTCCTCCACCCTCATGCCACTACCCAGACCACCATAACACAAATGTTCACTGCTACTGAGGCCTGAAGTCTTTCACACACTTATAGTGTTCATATTTCAGAAACCACTTGCCACGGCTAAAATTTAAAGTAGACATAGCAGCTCAACAGCTGGTCACTAACAGATGATGCACTTCCTATGGCTTGACCATCCTCAGATCATGCGGTGAAGCTTCTCATGTGTGTTGCTGCCTTACAGTAAGTGATAAGATGATAAAGACACACTCTGTTGTGTGACAGCTGCACAGACAGTGAATGCATTAGTATTACAATACTAGCAAAGAGCTTGTTGACACTACTCAGTTACAATGTCCTCAAGAAAGAGGTTAGAGACCAGTGGAACTGAGCTAATTCTGGATAGCAAGAGTGATGCTTATTCTGAGGAGGAGCATGAGACAACCCTTCCCACCCTCCACTGCAAGGCGGCTTCACCCCAACAGCAAAAATTTTGGAAGTGCAAATTATTTCAGAAAATAGTAACATACATACAAAACAAATAACAGGCAATTATTCCATAAAATGTACAAAGTGTTATCTCAGTGCAGAACGGGATAAAACACATGTATGGAGAATGACGGATGCTCTTCATCTGCCTTTTGTTTTATACACTTGGAACAAAATAAAGAGTAGCTGAAATATTGGCCTGTTATCAATTCACTGCATCACAACATGTACAAGGCTTAAAAAACTTATGCCACGGAAAATGCATGAGAATTTAAATCCTAGCACTCAAGGGATTAATCTTAATTTTCTATGACATGTCATTCAAGGGCGAGTGTGTACCGAAATGGTTGGTATTTAACCTTAGTTTTCTAAACATATCATTTTAAGGTGAGTGTGTATCTAAATGACTGATAATATCTGGAATTTTCATAATGAATAAATGTGTTAAAATCTTCTGGGATCATCAGCTGATGAGCTAAAAACCAACATTTCAGAGATGTTCTCCATTTTCACCCTCAGGATCAATAAATGACATTAATCCTGATGATGGAGATGAAGACAGTCTCTGAAGCAGCTTTTAACAATGAAGTTTTTAATCACCTGAGAAGATTTTAGTACAAGACTGGCTGGCATTTCAAATCAATAAAGTATTAGTGATGCAGATCTTCTGAGAATTTTAGAAAAATCTGTTGACTGTTTTCCTTGCAACTGTTCAGAAAGCAAAGTTTTTGATGATGAGAATGATTATATTCAATTTAGTTATGGTGACTGTGACATCTGTAAGTTTATACTTCTGTGGTACGAATATAATCTTACATTCTCCAAACCTTCTTCGACATGTATGTATACTTTGTGGGCTAGTGGTCAGATTGTTCAGTTGACAATTCAAATTATTTACATAGATGCAACTAACAACAGGGTACAAATGAAATTATCATTACTATGGGGTGCACTCAGCACTGACTAAAGACTAGCTCAAGGGATTAAATTCAGGCAAATACTGATACATCCACACTGACAGCTTAATTTCTCACCATGCTCAGTTTTAAGAATACTCTCTTCTGGGATGCAATATCACATATTGTGACAATGCCTGGGGGAACCTGTCACCACCATCTTCCACCTCGAAGTTAGTTCCAAAACAAATATGCCGTCACATCCAAGAAGATTACTATCTTAAAGACAAGTTGGTTTCATCATTGGAAAATGGGAGACACAAAGAGAGCATAAAGACAAAGATAATACCTTCATAGGCCGGAGCCAACTTGTTAAGGCAAAGGTACACACTGGGCAGCAAGTCATCTGGGCTGAGAAGCATCACTGAGCGAAAGTAGTTCGCCAAGATTTCAATTATCTTGAGACGAGCACTCACGCCTTCAATTGCCTCCAGGGTTCTTGTCAAGGCAAGGTATGGCACTCTGCAATAGACCAGTTACTGTACTTCCAGAATCATAAGATATGTCCAAGTTTTAGAAGACAAATTCTGGGGGAAAAGTTCTGCTGCATACATTGGGAAGCCAGTTTCATGAGTATTTACTAAGGAACAAGGTACATAAAATGTATACAAAAGTACACAGTCTACACAACAATATTCTGTATTTAAAACAAAGTAGACACTATTTGCATCTATAGACACATTTGTTTTTATTGATGCTACATGTTATGACCCTTATACTGGGTTATCATTATACTTTTGTATGCATTTTATGTACCTTGTTTATGACACACAACAGGAAGCATACTATTAAGATTTACTAAGGAAAACAGCCAATGCAGCATAAAGTTTTCACTAGTCACAGACCCCCCAGAAAATCTTCATGACTGTCATACTCATCATTAATGCTAATGTCTGGATTTTCACTTTCTTCAAAAATGCCATTCTCAGTGCCATCAAGGACACTGCTGGTGCTACATTTCTTGAACAACTTCACAATGGTCTCATGTTTCACAACTCCCATGAGTGCCACTTCATTCATTGTCTTGATGTCAAATTGTAACTTGGTCCCTCCATATATTTGGTCCAATTTTCATGTATGAATGCTTTAAACAGTTTAATAACCTAGATGTCTCATGGCCGCAATGGGCCAGTAAGGCCTCAAATCACAGCTAATTGTGTGTTTAATCCCTTAACTGCCCTTTTTGTTGGCACCACTACATGTGCCCTAACAGGTTACCCAGTGAATGGGATGGCTTTTCAGTAGACCACCTGTACTTTTTGCCCATGTTTTCTCTAGCCACAGATTCGTCCCATTTTCACCCAGCCATCTTTTAAAATGAACATGGATAAGAATTCCTCACAGAATTTACCTTTGGGAATCTAATTTTGTTTGAAATTAAAATTGGAGGCAATCAGCACAACATGCTAAAATGACAGTGTAATGTGTTTTTCAGAAGTTTTAACTGCCAATACTTTAGCACCTCAGTGCGCACAGTTCTGCTTGATGGAACACTGAAGTCACAGGTACTTCACCCATGCTGATAATCTGCCCAATTTCAAAATATGATTTATTCCTTGCAGCAACCACAAATTCCTGAAACTCCAAAATTTTGGTATCATACATAGTTGGCATCTCTTGTGCTACCCTAGTTCCAGCATGCATGCTAGAGTTACGCCTCTTAATATATCTGTGGCACCAATAAGGTTTCCCAACAAAATCAGTGACACTGTGTGCAACCACCCACTTCCTTGCTCCAAACATTATAATTTCTGTATACACGAAAATTCCATTGTTTCTGTGATCTGTTAGCCATTTCTCAAATCTTCTAGTTGAGGTCAAGAGCAGGGAAAGCGTAGTCGGAACAGTGACTAGCTACTGGGTAGATGACCAAGGGGTCAGAGTATGAGTCCCGGTGGGGTCAAGAATTTTCACTTCTCCATGTAGTCGAGACCAGCTCTGGGGTTCACACAACCTCCTACACATTGGGTACCGGGGTCTCTTCCCAGGGGGTAAAGCAGCAGGGGCGTGAAGCTAACCACTCATCTCTAATTAGTGCCGAGGTCAAGAAAACGTGGGTCTATACAGCCAATCCCCTATACACCTTCATGGCGTAGTGCTTACTTAGTTAAGTATATCAAAAACTTTACCTTATCTTTTACTTCTACAAGTATCATGTTTTTGGACATTATCCAACATCTTGTCTATACCGTCTATATTTAAAAACTGTCCTGTTTGTCTTTCAAAAGAGGTTTCAATCCATACCACTGAGCTCCACTTACTTATCTCCTCTGCTCCAACATGCATCATCCACGGGATGATAACTTTGTTTTGTGGGGTCATAATTCATCCCAGCATCCTTTGGTGCCATTTTATTGCCACCAGCTGGTTTTCTAGACAGACTACCGGCTTTCTCAGGTGATGGAGATGTTCTCCTTTGCTGTGTTGCATTTGTGCTTTTATGGGGAGCTGAAGCAACAAATTAATAATCGGTGGAATTTTAGATTATACAAAACTTTTGGTGGTACATAACACTCATATTTCTTTAAAATAACTTTCTCAGATATTAGTATAAGTAAGCAATGAAATCAATACAGGTGCCTGGAAGAAAGGTATCCAAAATAAAATATAGCACAGAAAGCATTTATTATACACATTTATGGGTTACACCATTACAAAGGGTAACTATCAAAGTTTTTTCTGAGTATATAACTTTCTCAATAAACTTCAATGTGGGCTTCTTTGGTGGCATGGCATATATTCAGACGATATTTGACCTTGTTCCACATTGCTTGAAGCATGTTTGGTGTTACCGTAGCCACAGCATCATTTATGCAGGTTTTCAGGTGTTGAAGGGCATTGATCTTAACCTGGTAGGCAATGTTCTTCATATAAAACCACAAGAAAAAACCAATGGGGTTAAATCTGGCGACCTAGGAGGCCAAGCCAATGGTCCACCTCTGCCAATCCATCTCCCAGTCATCTCTCTATCCAGGTGATTTCTAACATGTGACAGAAATGTGGCAGCACATGAATGTAAGTTGGGCATGGCAAAAAAAAAAAAAAACTTTCAGAGTTTTCCTTTCCGATGATATGAACTGGATACGTGTATGACAATTAGATTCTGAGATATGAATTTTTTATTTTTTATACCTTTCATCTGAATATCATGTAGTATCTCGAAAGAGGATGAGAATACATCTGTACCATATTCATTCAAATGAATGCCTACCTCAGATTTAAGACAAGCCCCATGTGAGACAACTCACTCTTGACAGTGGTAGACTGAAGAAAGAGGGGTCCAATACTGAGTCAATGTAAATTGTGGGAAAAAATGTAGGACTACAGGTTAGGCAGGTCATGTTTACTTTTCACAACTAGTAATGATTAAGGAGCTTAGCAGTTATGTACTAAAATAAATGAAATCCAGTATAACTTCATCACAAACATTTTTCAAATAAGGATGGCATTCTGAATGTTTATAACACTGGACATGATCTTGGCCTCCTTCAAACAGGCCTTACTCTCACTTATTCTACACTGAAAATTAAAGAAGCAGGTTCCTCCAAATGCTGGTACCTATCTACCAAACTACATGGTGTCACATACCTGAAGAATGTAATCTTAATTAAGAATGGTGATCAGTAAGGTCTATTTAAAGGTAATTATCCTGAAGAGACTGAGGAAATCCATGATATATCTAACTAGTGGCAGCAAACATTCAAACTAGAATACATTACCACTACATAAGCCTGCCTGGAGAAATAGCAGGGCCAGGAGTCAGTTATTGTGCTTACCGAAGAAGCTGCGAACTGTTTTTTTTGATGATGGTACTTTCTTGTTCTTGTCTTTCTCTATGTGGCTTCCTTCTGTAGCCTGGTTCTTCTCTTCACCTGCCCCTTCTTTAACACTGGGCCCTCTTTCTTGTGAGGCAACATTTTCTTCAGAGTCAACTTTTTTACAATTCTTCACTTCTTTCTTAACATCTGCATTCATATGCTGCACACTCACCTTAAGAACACAGAAAAAAAAAATCCTCCCATTTTGTCAAACCGAAGGATGATCACAAAAATCAAGTCCTGTACGGGTCATGAGTGGAGTGTGTCACACCAGCAGAGACTTTCATGATATCTGGCACTGTAACAATTTAACCAGGAACGAATCATTACTATAACCTCAAACCTATTTCTTTCATACACTGCCTCTGTGGTCTAGTGGTCAAGAGTTCCTGGCTCCAGAGGTGCGGGTTCATTTCCTGGTGCTACCAGATATTCTGGGTAGCGGGTCTGGAATGGGGTCCGCTCAGCCTCGTGAGGATAACTGAGGAGCAATGTCAAGGAAATAGCGGCTCCAGTCTAAAAAACAGAGATTAACGGTCACGGGGATCCATTGTGCTGACCACGTGACACCCTCTATTCACAAAAGTTGGCATTAAGTTCACCAACAAGCAGCGGTCACTCAATCGGTATAGTTCACTTGTGGACTATAGATCACAGAGGGGTTTCCCCCCCAAATAATAAATGTCGAAGCTTGAGACAGAAGAAAAAATCCTGTTATAGAATTTTGCCATTGGAAATGTCTCTGCATCTTGATGCACTGTTAGAATAAGTTATACCTTTTGTTTTGCAACTGGATCTTAGGAGTACAAAAGCACTGTAAGCAGAAGCATACCTGTTCCCCTTCTGTATCAGCTCTGCCTGCTCTGGCTGCCTCAACCACCTTGGCAACGCTTGCCAATGGCTGTTCCGTTCCTCTGAATGAAGTGGGAGCTGCAACACAGCAGCACACTGTCACTACCACACTCCTACAGACTGTCCTCAGTTCATCTCTTCTCTCATCTCAGTTGAAACTACACTGAAAATGCTTAATCATGGTGCAATGATTACATGCTTCTCTGCCAGTACAGCATGGCACATAGATAATGTGAATGTGAGTCACTTATGACATGAGACCAAGACATTCATTAGTTTTGTACAAATCTGTTACAGCCTCAAATGTAACATTTATTACTGTCCCACATATATCTCCTAATGACAAGGTTTGGCCATATACAACCATCATCAGGTACATACCAATTTTGTGAAAAATGTTTCACTGTTATTTCTTTCAATGTGAACACAATGATTTTTAAGTATAATTTTATATGTATAATTCACTAAAAAGTTTGTTACAAATTCATTACAGATGTGTTCACTGAAATGGTGGATTCTATTGAGCTTGGGTACTGCATTCAGTGCCAATATGTGGGTATTAAGAGAATACAGTTGTGTTATATAATACTGTTTTCATTGTATTGTACTTAGTTTTGCGTTTGTTTCTGATAGTACTTACATATATCATACCGCCCTGCATGTACAGATACTGATGCACTGTTAATGTATGGGTATCATCACTAATATGTGACTTGTTCAAGTGTTACTGTTGTAGCAATTATGAATGCGAAATAAAATGAATGAATGTAAGGATATTGTATTATACAAGTGGTCCAAATTTAAAGGTACAACACAAATTACATCAACATATTTATTGCAAAAAAATCTGTAATAACATCAAGAAATGCCACATACTAATGTTTATTTTTCCAAGTAGTCACTGTTAGCATTCAGGCATTTATCCCATCATTTTTCAAGTTTAAACATTCCTCCATGGTAGTGTTCCTTTCCAATTGATGTAAAGGACCTCCTAAATACACATAATACTGTGAACAATGTCAGAAATCATGCGCACATCCATATAGGACGATTCGAAGTTCTAGGGCAAAACTCCAGGAGGCTCCTGTTTATCACTTCATCACCCCTGTCAACTTACTTTCATCACTTTTTAAGAATATGAAATAACAGTTACATTTAACATCCTTTTTCATATTTTCAATCACAATAAATGAAAGGCAAAATTTCTAAAGTTATTAGCTCTACTCAGTTTGAACTTTACATTACATCTGATAGAAAAGTCTGATCATCACACAGGTTGCTCAAATTGACTTCCTTTAGTTCACAAGCATGCTTCATGATGCAGTGGAGTACCTACACGAACCAGTTTTTTTAGGTTGGCCTCTAACATCTCTCGCAGCTACCTAGAAGCAGCCATTTACATTTCCTACTTCAAATTATCTAAAAAAAAAACTCTGAAAGTTGGTCACAGGATTCTGAATCATCCTGCTTAGTACCACTTGTGGCACTGAATATTGCAGAAGTGTGCAACCAGAGATCAACATATCAGTGACACAGGACTGCAAGAAAATACAACTCCAAAAACATTTCAAATTGGAAATTAATGGAGAAAGAATCTGCTCTGCTTATACAGAGTGTTTCACGACTTTAGGGCATAACTGCAGGAGGTGATTTCCTAGGTCTTTGTGTTCAAAAAAGTTTGTATAAACATGTGTCCGATTTTGGACAGTTACGGAGTTATGACCACTTTTTCATTCCTGTACACGCCCTCATATGAACGGCATCTGTCAGCTGGCAGGTTGCTATTTTTAGCCAGCTACAGACAGAGCGTTCTCGTTATCTCGACACTTGAGAGTGGGGTGGGATGGTATGTCCGGCATGGTTCACAACCGAGTGGAAGCCTGTGTTGCGGCTGGCGGTGACATTTTCGAAAATCAGCTTTAAGCACCAATAAATTCAAATTAAAGGTAATTTCACGAAGTTAACTTTACATTCATACTTTAAATGTATCATGTATTATGCTGGTTTATTATTTTGTTCCGTTTATTGTCAGTAATCGTTACCTTCTATTCTGAGTTTAAAATGGTCATAACTCCGTAACCGTCCAAAATCAGACACGTGTATATGAACTTTTTTGATCACAGAGACCTAGGAAATCGCCTCCTCCAGTTATGCCCAAAAGTCGTGAAACACCCTGTTTAATTGCTCTGCAGGTGTATGAGTTTATGATAGCAAATTTATGTGAAAAATACAGACATGTCCAGGTAATTTTCAAGTGGAACTCAATAACTTAAAAGACAAGAGAAAATTAGAGTATTAAATTCCACGTGATTAATGCTCTCTTATGTGGCCTTCATATTTCTGAGTCGGCAGCTTTCCTTACATCTTACAGGCACTAACAAGACACAACTGCAAAAATGCAGGCAATGCATGAGAAACATGATCTGCAGGTCAGGGGCCTGCAAAGCTGCATTAACACAGCCTTCTGCCTGATCTAAATAGTTATGTTAACCTGCCTTACCTGTCTTCCTCGGCATAATTCCTTCAGGGGCAACAGAATGGTTTCTATTTCCATACTGCTTAGGGGCAGGATCAATTGCCAACACACTTCTCTTCCCTGGTGGTGACAAGCTGTGAAGGATGGGAAAAATAAGTGAAGAATGGCACCCTGTCTGCTCTTGTAGCTATACAGAGGGGTCCAAAAAAATGTATTCACTCTTTGATAGTCAATACCTTTGGAACAAAATGACATGTAGTTACAATTCTTGTGTGGAGAGAGAGAGAGAGAGAGAGAGAGAGAGAGAGAGTCATTGTATGTGTTCAAAGTGACCACCATCAGAGGCTAAACAGCGTCGATGCCGCCGAACTGCTGAGCGAACTACAGCTGTCAGTGTGTCTGGTGTGATGGTTGCACACAACGCTTCAATGGTTTCTCGTAGCGCATTCAGTGTAGCTGGCTTCTGTTGATAAACTTCATCCTTCAAGGTTCCCCATAGGTAGAAGTCGAGAAGTGTTAGGTCTGGAGACCATGGTGGGTACTCAATAGCACCTCTTTGACCTATCCATCATCCAGGTAGAGTGTCATCCAAGTACGCCCTGACATCTCGATGGTAGTGAGGTGGAGCACCATCTTGTTGAAATCTCTCCAAACAGCTCTCGAATGACAGGGAAAATCGATATCTGAAGCATATCGAGATACACCTGACCAGTTACAGTACCTTCAAAGAAGGATCGATCAAACCACGCGATGACGGACCACACCACACATTACCACCTGGTAGATTCACTTCCTTGCCTACATGAACGTGTGGATTTACAGGAGCCCAATACACACAATTGTGGTGGTTAACAGTATTGTTCATTTTGAATTGCGCCTCGTCAGGCCGGATAATTTTCCTTGCGAACCATGCCTTCAAACCACCCACATTATTCAAGCCTTCGATCCAGGTCATCCTCGTTCATAGCAGTCTTGGAATGTACACTTTCCACTTTGCAGCCTTCACCATCTGTTGAGAAAACATTACACTACACTACCACACATGAATTGTAACTACATCTCATTTTGTTCCAAAGATATTGACTATCAAAGAGTCAGTACTGCTACTTTCAATGTGTGCTACCTTCAAGATGAAATTATAAAGTTCACATTTTGATAACCACAATTATAATGAAGAGTACAGTCATCTGAGATGAAACACTGTGTAGTCTGGTGAAAACATGACATTTTGGAGGAACATACTGCCTCCATCTTCAGGATTGAGTTGTGCCAAACAAGCACTCAGAAGATTGTACTCTTCATATTCAATGCTGTGAGAAATTCATACGTTAACAATTTCATGTTATTTGACTGTGGAAACTTGGTACACTTCAAGTGAACATACTTACTGAAATTAGTATCACTGCAGCTTCTGAAGCATATGAATGAAGCATTGAGGAGGAGAGAGAGGACCTGATTCTGCAGTCTTCCCTGACCCAACCTTTATCCTGAAAGTGCTCTTTCCTGGTCACATTTTTGCCTGTTTAACTGGTTTAACTATGATGGTTTAGCTTAGGTGAGCCCAAGTAACATTCTGAACGTTTACAATTATTCACAATGCGCAATTTTTAAGTACTACACAAACCTGGTTGAGGCATCCACATCTTCATCACTATCGCTCAAAATTCTACGTCTCTTATTTTTGGTTGAAGTTACTTTAATTGGTGAGTCGTTTCTCTCCGTCTCTAATCCATCTTGCTGTCTGGATGGGCAGAATGATAAAATTGTAGTCACCGTTTTCAAACACGACCTCAAGTAATTATCTGACATAACCAAATGTTTCGGAATCACTACCTTGTGGTCATTTAAGAACACACAATACTGGCGTCTACAATTGGTTACCGGTCTACAAAAATGCCAAAATTTCTTTACATCACATAATGATTTAATCATAACGATTTTAATGTCAAACGTACTGCAGTTCGTAAAATTACTGTGAGACTATTTAAAAAAAAACATACCCATCATCATTACAAATCGCTTCATTGGCACTAGGCTCCCTGGATTTCGCAGGGGCACTAGAGAAGAACGACCTGTATGAAAAACACGTAACTCAATATAACCTCAATGTTTGAAAAAACATTAAAATCGAATTAATATAGTAACAATAACAATATTTTAAGACGCTCTTGGTTTACATATAGATATTTACGCGAACAAAACTTATATTCCTTTACTTACGTAATTTGCCTCTGATACATTTACCCGCGCTTTTCAACCACTCTCCCACAAACTCACGGATTACTACAGGCTGCTGCATAACTATGCCGGGTTATTCAAACCACAGATTACTAAATAAATATCAATTATATGTGATGGATAATCTGCCCCGCTTCATTCAGTAACATATGTTAAACTCAGGCTGATAACAATTTGCGGATATTGAGGTTGCGTTGCGGTTGCCAGTTTCATTGGTGTGCCCTCACCCTTATTGAAAGGTGCGGCGCAAATTGAGGAAACGGCAACGCAACTCGCGGAGACTCAAACACTCAATTTCCAGGAAACGGAGCATGCCAGTCATCTCACAATTGCGTTGCCGCGTGGTTTCCTACCATCAGCTGTTATCTAACGCGCTCCAGCGATTCATTCTTCTCTTAAGGTGATAAGAAGGGTTGACGAAGCTTTTCGTATCGCGTGTGAACGCGATATTTCCTTATTAAAATAAATTGACCTTAATGAAATTAACATCCCAGTATTTTCCTTATGTTCATCGTCCTCTTCTCACTCTGTCCCAACTACTACTAGTTTTCTTATAGGATGCAAGCCCAAAGAAAACTTGTCTTTCTTAATATCTCATCACCAGGATGTCGTGCAAAATCATAAGACAAAGTCTGAATATTTGGGAATGACAGTAACAAACTGAAATTGCATTCATAAAGAAATAAAGAGCTGATTATGTGGGGAATGTTTGCTGCCATTCAGTCAAGAATTTCCTTCCTTCCTGTCTTCTATAAAAAATGTAGAGATTAAGAGATACTGAACTATAGTTTTACCTGCCCTTTTGCATGGGTGTGAAACTTAGTCTCCAACATTAAAAACAAAGACTGAGCCTACTTGAAAGCAGCGTGCTGAGAATATGTGGGCCCAAGATGAAGTTGGGTAAATGGGCAAAATGCACAATGTGCAGCTTCACAATTTTTACTACTTACCAAATAATGTATGATGATCAAATCAAGAACGATGAGCTGGGTAACAGAGATAACACACAAGGGGCAGAATACATAGTTCTGGGATGAAAACCTGAAGGAAAGAGACAATTAGCAAAACCTACACATAAATGAGTCAATAATACAGTGGAACCCCTATTTAATACTCCTAAATAGAAGTTTTTCCCTCATTTAATTTGAATATATTTGTAACATATCCAAACTTATAACTCTCCGATATCTATGCACATATTCCATGAATGAATATTATCAACATAATTGGTCATAAGTGTGTAAATTTGTAATGTATTTAAGTCAGTTAATATAGGTAATTTAAATAAAATTGTATTAATTCAAATTTTATAGTAAGTTATTTTTAAATCATTTCATTAAATTTTTTACTTTATATTACTATTTATGTTAATCGATTAATGCATGTGATTTTGATTATGTGACTCCTGTAATTTTGTATATGTATCTTGATATATCTATGAGACCACTTCCACATCCTAGGTTTGTTACCTGTGTGGATATATTGAAAATAAAGTAAATGAATGAATGAATTCCAAGTCAGTTACCCCAGTGCTGAATTATCTTCATTTAAGATTTTCCTCAAGTGTTCAAATTCACTTCCTCAAAAGAGACCTTAAATTAAAATGGATAATAAAGGAATAGAATGATTGGGTGTGGAATGGCCTCATCTGGCTCAGGAAAAGGCCCTGTGGTAGGCTCTTGTGAACACAGTAACAAATCTTCATGTTCCATAAAATACTGTGAATTTTTTTAGTGATTGAGCAACTACTGGCTTTTCAAGCTTAAGCTTCATGGACTTAGTACTGTGAGTGAACAACATAAAATAGTTTACAGGTGATTAAAGATTTGTAAAAGGGGCAAAGCAACATAAATAAAGTAAACTTTACCATTTTGGCCAGCATGTCAGATGTTCACATGTAGAGTCACCTGTCCTTTGGAATTCTCATCACACCAGATTCTGTTTAACAAGACAATAATCAGTGCTAAACCAACATATTTCTGATCATGCAACCTTATCTTGAAAAGGAGCGCTGGAAGTACCAACACTGCTACTGTTTAAACTCCACCTATTTTTTTAATTTTTTTTAAAGAGCTCATACAGCTGAAAGTTATTCAAAGAATCTCACAGACTCTGTTGTACACTGTACATTACCGATACACCCTATCCCATCATAACCCTTTAGAACAGATTCTGAACAGTACACTTACATTCATCTGAAGCGTTCAAGGTCCTTGTACTACAATTAGAGTTTCACAGGCAATTTCAGTTTATTTAATCAGATTTTCACAAACCATCCAAATTTTCTTCTGTCTCAAACACTAACAGGAAAATTACTGCCACACACTAGCATACAAGTGGGCAGTTTTATACAATGTGCACTCATACACCACAGAGCATCTTCATGAGGATGTCACATTTGTACACATACTGTGGCTATAGCAAAAGTGTGCCCTAACTTAGAAAAATGTCTGACACAAATTCTCCACAACATTAATCCAACTCCATTATATTTCACAGTAACTGCAATTTTGCTAGAACACTCTGGTTCCATGATTACTTTTGCATTTATAATTTTTCTAAACTAAACCTGTAAATTCTAAATTCTTAAAATCATGACTTTAGAAACAGAAACAAAGGAAATCTTTCTTTATACCAGGAATAAATTCTCATGGTTCTCTTAACCACACATAACTGAACTAAACAATTCTACATGTAAGTGTATTTTTCAGGAATTTTGTAACTTTGGTCTTCAATATGAATGGATGTTGTAAACAATTCATATGGGCATATTTTTGGTGCAAAAATAAAGGTTAATCAGAGCATATTATATTGTGTAGTGCATCATTCAAAGCAACTAACAATTCAGTACACTATTCTGAGCTCTCACTATGAAACACTGCAGTCTTTGAGTTTAATATATCAGACAACAATATTAATATATAGGAAGGTTATCTGACAATCAGATGCAAATGTTTCGGCTGGTCCAGTGGCATGTCTGCACTTCATACACCCCACAGCATATACTGAAAATGTTTCATTAGATAAACATTTCATGTGAACCTCAGCAAGATGTTCACACTCAGTGCCACAAACTACCAACTTTAAACTTTAAATGCTGGTCTCATTTCCAAGTGGCTGTGGGGTTTCCAATGAGAGTGTCCAAGCCTAGAACGGATTTCATCCAGTCTCTCCTGTGAGCACTCAGCATTTTGACTCAGTTCTTTTTTGCCCAGTAATGATGCTCATACTTAGATTCATTTATGTTTGTATGAATGTATATATATTTTTTGGAACCAAAACATCCTGATATTTATACAGGAATCTTATGCTCGCTTTTCAGATGGGTATGGTACATAAACACTAAATGTGTAATTCTCACATGGAATTCTGACACAAAAAGTAACACAAATGAATGTTTAATATTAGCAGGAGCAGCTTGAGATTATGGTCAACAGGCACAAAACTCACAGTAGCTGTTCAAAGACAAATTGCTAATACTGGAGACAGTCATGTGTATAGCCTACCAGCCTGTCTACTACACCATGATTCAGAACACATGGGGGTGCAAGCTCACATGAAATTAGTACGTTCCTCCCACCAAAAGATATGTGGCAGACTCTCAAATAACCTCCCTATACTGCCAAGATTTATGCAAGTGTCACGATTACATGATCGAGATGAAATTGGATCTGCTTTTAGTGTCCTGCAAATTGTATTAAGTTTTGGTAAAGACTTATGCTTGGCTCTGGAAATCTTAATATTTTCACCCCTGTTTTAAAGTAACAAATTTGCACTAAAATCCCAAAGTCACTTTCCATAATAATGTCACAATCCAAAGGGAACAGTTCCAGAAGAAATCCTGATATGGGTGGTTTCAATTGCTTTTAACAGCAACCTGTGTGAGAAAACAACATTTCCACCACATGGCTTGATTAAAGGTAACTCTTCATTATTACTGCAATCTGCTGAAGACTAACCCTCTCTGTGAACCCACCTCCACACCTTGTGTACAGCAATGTAGTCCATGCATGTCATCACGAAGGCCAAAAATCAACAAGAAATGGTCATATACACTTTATACAGACCGAGGAACATATTGGGGCTTGAAGATTATAAAATATAATTACGACCCTGACAGTATTCAAGCCCTTTCCCTTTAAATGAAGTACTATTTTCATCTGACAATCAATTTTCCAAACATTGTGATATGCACATTTTGTACATGTGTAGCAGCCATTCTGGATGATAGCTATTGTAGTAACAACCTTTATTGCAATGTCTGTGTTGAACTTTCTCTGCCAACATGAAATACAAATTTACTCTTACATATTTATTTGAAACTGACTTTCATAACATGTTTTCTTCATCCTATCATTATTAGCAATGAATTCAAGATCAAATGTTAGCTCAACACACATCTACTAGCAAAATTACATAAAATTAATCTGACATCTAATCTTGAAATTGCATACTTATATTAACTTGTAACATTCAATTTTACTCATAAAGAAAAATGTATTTCACACCAATTTCCATGTAAGTATGCAGAAAGAGACTGAAGTGCCCAAATTATTCACAAGATAAGGCAAGTCTGTAGAATGGAACTTATATATATAGAAAACTATGAAGTAGTTTTACAAACTATTCTATCAGAACCAAGCAGGTTGGCATAGCAGTAACATTCTGGACTTGCATTCAGGAGGTCTTTAGTTCAAATCTTGGTTGGGTCATTGGCTATTGTGATTGTGGTTTCCCTCAGTCTCTTCATGCAAAGGCCACAACAACCACTTCCTTTCATAAATTTCCCAATTCATGACTCATCCTACCATCTGACATTACAGTCTTCAAAAGACTTAACTCACAAAATGAATATTTATCATTCCAAATAATTCATGATGACACCTCATTTACAGAATTATCATCTTGATTCTGGAGTGCTATGCATGGAGTCATATTACAATTAGAACAATTTAGTAATTTTCAATAGTATTTTAAACTTTTAAACTACACACCCTGAACAGGGGAGCTCATATTTTTCCAGCATACTGGAATATATTCTACATTTCAAATGTAAAAACACATAGAATCTCAGTATAAATTACCCTCACCTTACAAAAAAATTCTACCACTTCACAATATCATTGTTAACAGATAAGCAGTATGATTCATTAACAGAAGGTGAAATAATTTTGAACACCAAACACTTAACATGAAATTCTGTTATAAGTTACGAATTTCATGAAGTGCCACTTGTAAAATGCCTTTCTTGTTGGATCAAATACCTAGAAATCAAATTCACATGTTTACCTCACAAGCAAACAATGTTACTTGCATGGGAATGAAATACAGGAGCTATAAAATACCTAAACTGAGAGCAGAATTCTAATGTGCTATTGTCAGGCTCCATTTTCTTTTGATTTAGAAACATGAAACTGTTCAAAAGATCTCATTCTGGTATAAAGGTTGATTCAGACATAGCACTCTACAATTCCTGCATGTACCACAACAATCATAGAGCTACACGCAAGACATTGGGGAAGGGTAACCAAGTTCAAGTTCTTTCAGTGAGAAACAGGAAACCACTGCACAAGTTATTACACATAAATGCAAGTCCTATGTGGAAGCAAGGTAAATCCACTGTGATCACTCTCAGAATTAATTATCAGGCAGAGTGTAACGAACATACGGAACTTCTACATCGTTGCCATCACTGTCGTTACAGCACAACTCAAACACCAATGCTCTGACATGGGGCTCCAACCTCTTCTTCGACACCTTCTTCACTACTTCAGACATGAGAAGGGGGAAACGTTCCTCACACTTTGCCTTGGCCATGAAGAATGAATACAGCATGCACACCCCTTGTGATAGCATTGTGATTTCCAAATTAAATTTCTCCTTAAAGTAATCCAGGAACTCTCGCAGGGTAAGTTCTCCCTCTACTTCAAAGCGGTCCCACAGAGTCCATTCCTCTTCATAATACTTCATCTTTGGGGCAGCAATGGGCTCAGAAAAGCCAAAAAAGGGCAGAGCCAAGTTAACAAACCCATTCTTGAAAGGCTCTAATGTAGTGAAACCTTGTGCAAGCTTGTACAATTCAAGACACACCAGACCTGCAACTACTGAAGTTGTTGTTGCAATGGCAGGGATGATTTTGCCTGCAATAAGTTTGCTCTTAAGGCGATCAGCTGGAGGAATATTGTAGTTTGCTGCACGAAGATTTGAAGCAGCAACGATGAAGTCCATATGCAAGTTTGTATCATCATCTTTCTCGAACTCCAACGGAGTGATGGTCAAGCCTTTCAGCTCATCCCTTGAAGGCAGTTCGTTTCGAAGCTGACTGATCTGGTCATGATCCACACTGCCAGCACCATTAGACACCTGCATCTGTGCGTCCGTGACTGCAATCTTCACTCCAGATTTGGGGACAAATTCAGGAACTACAACACGCTCTGCCATATTCACTATTGCATCCCTGTCTCGGTTTTGTGGAATTCCATAAACTTCAGCCTTTAGATTAGCAGCAGCAAGAATATAATCAATATGCAGAGGATCATCCACTGAAAATGTAAGTGGTGTTGGACAGCGTTTTGGTCCGGACCAGAATGGCTGGCCACTTGAAGTAAGCTGATCCGGAGGAAAATTGAATAGAAGCTGTCGAATCTGGTCACTATATTGCTCCTGCCAGTAGCAACGTGCCCATGCCACACAGTCTTCAAACGAAGATGGACGATGATCTACCAAAGCATGCTTCACAGATTCCAGAACCTCCAGAGGCTGAACCCCTGGCAACTTTAGAGTACGTTCTACAAATGATGGTTCTGCCAAGTACTGAGCTGCATTCTCAGCTGCCTGGCGAAACAGCCCCTCAAAGCTATCTCTTGCCCACTGCAGTGTGTGCTCAATTGCATTGGGAAAGTTCTTCAAAGTACAAATTGGGATACTTTTTTCTGGTGGGTCTTGTGAAGAGCTATATGATTCAGTAAGGAAAGGTACCACGACTTGTGTATTTCCTTTTGTGCCCAGAGTACCAGATTCAAGAAGAGGCTTGCGGTAATAGACGCAGCGCCGATCCATGTAAATGCGGGCATCCACATTATCAAGAGCATTGGCTACACCATCCAGAGATTCAAAAAAGGCATCATCATAAACTCGTTCCGTCTCTTGCCCAACACGATTCTCATGGGCCACAACATTGATTGCAGGGTTCATACGTCGTACTGCTTTCGCTGCACACACAGACTTAGGTCGTTGTACATCTGAAGGGCGGAAGAGGAACTGCCTGTTCAGGTTTGATTTCTCGATCAGGTCCATATCAGTCACTGTTACTTGACCACCTTCTGAAGCTCCTATGCCCATCATAGCAAAATTCTTCAAAAGTTCACAGCCAATGGCACCAGCCCCAACCACAAAATATTTCAGCGCACCCAGACGCTGCTGGAATGTGTTTCCAAAAACAGCTATCTGACCATCATATCGACTCCCTGCTGCTTTGCAGTTACCTTTATTGAGCAGAGATAAATCAGAGGGCAGACATTCCAAAGCATCAAAATAGAGCCATTGGTAAATAGGATTGAACTTACCACTGCATGCCTTCATGACTTCTTGTGCAACAATTCCCCCAATGGTAGCATTGAGAGGGGGGATATCACCAGAAGAAACTTTGGCAAATGTTTTCAGTAACTCTGTGTTGGGCTCTTCGTTGTTTCCGGCAGCCGCAACTGATTTAGCGAGGGACACAAATGAATCTGCATCTTCCTCATTCCAAGGTTTCGGTGCTTCTCCATTTTGCTCAATGAACTTGTGTAAGGTTATGAATGCAAGATGTACCTGTGAAGGGCGATCAAATTTTGCAAAATCTGTGACGATAAACTCGGGTTCTTTGATAGATTCCTTCAGAGGCTTAAAGTGTGTGATTTTTGGCATCTTTACTTGGGTAACAATTCCCCCACGTATATATTCAGAATATTTACTGGTGTCACCAATGCTGAAGGTGTATGGCCCCAAAACATGTATCTTCTTCGGTTCACATCCATTTAATTCAGTCATACCAAGAATTTCTGAGAATGTTACAAAGTCTCCATCTTCTAATCCATGACGTGTATCATCTAGACAGGTGACTACTCCTTCTGCTTCCCGCGAAATACTAGCAATCATTGCTGAAATCGGACTTTCACCTGATGTATCAACAACAGTAAACTCTTTACCAAAGTCACAAAATACCTGAGCAAACAGACCTCTTGTATCTGCAACAATGAGAGCTATATCATTTTCATGTGTCACTTCCGCAATCCTCAACTGCTCTTGTAGACTACTATTTGTCAACACAACTACCCTGAAACGTTTTATGAAGTCGTCTGTAAGTCGATCGGTGTAGGTTTTAGTAGGTACATACATATTCAGCTCTGACAGCTGTGGTAAACATGCTTCGGCTCTATTCTTCCCAATATCAGATTCTGTCAGGTAAAACTGAGATGTCAAATCTGCGACCTTGCATACGGCTTCGTCATGCAGTGTCACTGACTTTACACCACCTAAAATAACATTTTTCGCCACTTCTGCGCCCAGTCCTCCTAGTCCAGAAATAAGAACATCTGATGTTGCCATTCGGCGCATAGCTTCATGACCCAGCACATACAGCTGCCTTGAATATAATCCCTCGTCGATCTCGTTGGAATTCGATGAACCATTCTGCGCCATGTCTGAAGTAGCCAATGAAACGGATTTCGCTGCAGTATTGTCTCCTGTAGCAAGTTTCCGCTTCTTGGCTGGAGGATCAACGGAATTGTCCACCACTTCAGCACTAGACATCGGGCACAAAGGCCGTTTTATCAGCCAATTTGTTTTAGAAGATAAAGTCGAGTCACTGATTATTTTCTAATTATGGAATGCGAGTAAGTTACTCAACCTCTACCTATAAAGAAGACAATTGAAGCGTGGAGAGCACTAACATAAAGCGGAAGTCAAATCCTATGACAAATTCATATATCAGATTACAAAAACATTGTCAATATTTGCATCATTCGAATCAAATAACACAGTAAGAAAAGTTGTGAGTTAAATTAATATTTTATAAATGATTTATATATCGCTTATATATTAAAACTAATTATTAAATACACGTATAATGTACGTTGAAATGAATTGTGTTTACTTCTGGAAGTGAAAGATTATCATGAACACTTCAAGGAATTTTGACACTATCCCATAGATGGCACGGAGTGCAAAATCGAGACGACAAAGTTCAATCGGAAAGCACACAACTGCTCGGGTGCGTTCAGTAATGCAGTCTTAAGTCAGAGGTTCACGTTTATTTGAGAAATTAAAAAACTATTGCAAAATCGAAACCTGACATTAGAAAATTTGGTTACTACTGAACTCCGAAGTTATAATTTTAAAATAAACACTCCGTAAGATTCCTTCAATTTTACTTAATTTCAACCAAGGAACATTTTAAAAATTGCATCTGCATCATAAGTAAAGTAAAAGTAAAGCTATCCCTGTAAGAGGCCGTGAAGGCCCATAGGGTTGTGAGACGTTGAGGGTCCCACATTATCTAGACAATTGGCTCAAAGATGGCGGTAAGGTTGTCAGCCTTACGCGCCGGTCGCGCTTTACTCCACAGGAAAATTATTTATTTAATTTCTGGTATTCATTTCTGTTAGAGGCTGAGTCGACCCCAGGGCCATAGTGCGGGTGCAAGGATTAGGTCAACTGAAAAAATCCAATGACCTCATCGGGACTTGAACCGGCGACCTTCCGGCTTGTAGCATAGCCCCTCAAACAACTACGCTGCCGCCTGAAAAAGAACGCACATACAGCAAATTAGTCGTTTACGTATGAAAATGCCCTTATTTGCAATTCATCATATATTAAATAAGCTATAATCTGTAGTTACAATTCGGCCAGTATTTGTCCTTAAGTTTAATGCAGAAATTTCATGGTGGGGAAGTGTGTTTTCACGCTCACGTGACTAGACTGCCGTTGTAGCGGAAGCTACTAGAAATTGGACATAATCTCTTGTACTGAGCCTGGACTGACAGAGGCCCTGTATATATTTTATTTACATTTATTAACATGTTTGACATGTAAAATGCAAATATCCTTTACATTATGACAAATGACTCATTACTGCAGACAATGACTCTGATAAGAGACAGACCCGTCCTCTCGTCAGAGAGGGCGCCCCACAAAACAAGACCGTAATTGCCAAACAGTAATAAATACCTGATCATGAGCCCGAGATGGGGCTTGACACCAAGACTTACTGACTGACCGTCAGCCGGAATGTGACTTTGACTTCACAATCAGCCAGTAATCCGTGTGGAGGTGGGGTCGAATACCTCCACCGTGACCCTACCAGTCGTAGGAGGTAACGAAAAAGGAAGTCCCAAATCTGAGGAAGTAACATATGATCGCGAGTCCCCGAAAAAAGACTGCACCGGCAGCATATACAAAAGACAGACCCGTCCTCTCGTCAGAGAGGGCGCCCCACAAAAACGAGACCGTAACTGACGAACAGTAACATATGTGGTCATGAGCCCCAGATGGGGCTCGACACCAAGACTTACCGATTGACTGACTGACTGACCGTCAGTCGTAATGTGACCTTGACTTTGAATCAGTAATTTGAGTTCTGCAAGGGAGGCTGTGAAGAGATGACGCTATAATTTAGTTGACAGTTCAGTTGTGGGATATTCGCCGGACAGTAACGACATGAGCACAGAAGCCGAAGAATTTCTACTGTTGAGAACTGTTACTAAGCAACGACTAGTGAAGACACTGCAGGCTAGAGAAGGCTTAGCGTGTAATGATTTGTAAAATGTGGAAATCAGTGATAGTGTTACAGTTATTTGTAGTTACGACCCGTAAGTGGTCAGTAAATCTGTTCACCAATCCATACCCCGTCTATGCATGTGACAATAGTAATACCGTCGCACGCCTCGCTTGCGCTTTCTTTTAAATGCGCGTTTGTTGTGGCGATTTATATTCCTCTAGGTATGAAGAACATGTCTCTTGGTGTCACCTCTTGTTCGTCGTCGGCGGTGTTGGGGACTTCTCGTGGGATGAAGATGGGACAGCTTCTGAGGAATCCACACTAGCACACGCCTTGCTAATGCCACTGCTGTGTAAGTAACACGTGTAGGTCAGTCTGAACAACACTGCGAGTGCCAAAGCGGCCGCTCAGGACCGTGTTCCTTTAGTAATGTGTATAGGTTAAAGGTGCTACATTTGTCCAGTCACCACTTCTCCCTCCACCTAACGGCGTGCACCTAGCCTCACTGGTAATATCGTCCATAACTGTGACAACCAGTTTCGCAATCTTACAGTCATCTCGATGTTGTTTTGCAATGCTGTCTCGCTCACCTATCGAAGGGACCATGTCATTTCTCCTGCACTGAAAAAAATTGTGGTTTCAACACTTCCCAGAACACAGTATACTTCCAATGAGTAAGTAACTTCAAATTGAAACCCGAGGAGTGCGTTTATTGTGCACTTCAGTGTCATTTCTGGGTAGCGTTGCCATCAGTGTAAATTAACGTATAATCGGGTCTGATATTTTTCATGTACCTAAGTGGAGGATAGTGGCTACACTGTGTTATCTAGCGTGTCATCTGCCGCGCGCGGAACTTAAACAATGGGTAAACGTTCAGTGGTGAAGACTACGCAGGCGCACCGCATGCATAAGCAGCGTATGGGGCACAAGCGAATTGGCTAGCTGCAGTCTGATTAACCCAGATGACCTCACCCACAATTACTTCGAATAAGCGAGGGTTTACTGTACGCCAGATGGCGGGACAGAGCTTTCAAATGGTGCAGGAAATTTCTCTCATGTGTCAAGGGGTCGATTTTCGTTAAGATACGTTCGAGGACATGGCAACACTTCTATCCTGAAGGAGACAATACATATCTACTAGACTACATCACATCATATCACATCCCAGCAAGGAATAATCTAATTATTCACTGCAGTCAAGACCTTAAACTTCGTCAAGTTGTTTCGTGGTTTTTATTTACAATACCTCAATTAAGCGTTGACTATTTCCTTCAACATCCTCTCCAATTAGCTGATGGAAAACCGTTCTTTCATAACATTTTCTCCCGCTGTTTTGTTCGGTTTTTGCACAGTCGTCTTACAGCGAGTGTTATCCCATATAAATATTATCTGATATAAGGGACATATAGCATCTTGTGTTACGAGAAGGAGCGGCTAGGCGCGGCTTGTCTCCTGCAGAGAGGGCCGGAGAGTGTGAATGAGCTGAGCTGCATACAAACGAGTGACATGATTGACGTCACTCGGGTGGAAGCTACAGATTGGGACAATATGATCCAGGATTGGATAATGATGAGATAACAAATAATGCCACGTAAAAAAATAATTAGAAAGGGATTACGGCGAAACGTAATCCCGTCTGTTATCTCAGAATTAAAAGAACATTTTAAACAATAGTCAATCTTAGGCTTAACGCCGTCATGCAGATTTCAGGAAACAAGTCGCGGTATTGCGCAAAAAGAAGATACAGATCGTCCCTTGTTTGATGGGCGACGTTGCCAGTGACGCTGATCAGAGTTGTCTGGAGAGGCAGAAAGGAAGGGGGACAGGAGATGAATAGGATAGGAATAGATGAGAATGGAGGGCAGGAGATAAAGTACGAAAGAAAGAAACGGAGTGAAATATAAAGGAAAGAAAGAAATGGGTATACTGTGGAGATTATAACTGCAAATGCGACCAAATCACGGCCAGATGGTGATATATCCTCTGAATAAGCCTGTATTATGGCGGTCTCACCTTTGTGTTGGCGTACAGAAAGTCATGCCATAATTCAACTGAATTTGATCTGTGAACAGCAGAAAGATGGAGACATTTTCCGATGGTTATTCCACGGGAACTGGGCACACAAGTAACCTCAAGGTTGCTGGTGAATATTAAATTGGCGGTCCGCGGTCGCCTTTTTACATGTTGTGTGCACCTGAATAGATAAACCGAGGACTCTGTCTCAAGCAGCACAGCTTCCGGCTGTGCCCAGTTTGAGTCTTAGCCGAAACACCGACAATCCGGACCAAGGACTTTCTCAGTCGCTCCATCCAAACAGTACACCTGAAATTAGGCCATGATTACCTCAATTTTTACATAGTTTTCGATTCAGTATTTGTTTCCATGCAGTCTACGCCGTATTGCCTGAGCTACCAGCAGCCATCTACTTTCACGGTTGTTTCTTGCTCGGTTTATTCTTTGACTCTGAAGATGTAGACGAAATGTTCCTTCGAAACGTCAGTTGAATTTCAACAGACTACACGTCGTTATATCCAATATGATAGTACTCCTGATAATCATTGCTGTGAGACCCTGAAGTCCTAAACAGTAAACCTGAAATTAGACCACCATCAACTTTTTTACGTTCTTCCCGGTTCATTGTGTGTTTCCATGCAGTAGCTCGAAGCCGTACTGCCTGAGATACCGACAGTGTCCTTAAATCGTCCACAAACAAATAAAAATAACATATTATAACTCACGGGAAACTCCATAAGTGATCAACTTCAAGCTGAATTATAAACGCCTTGCACAAGCTCATGGCTTCTATCGTAATTTGCGTACATTTATTATTCAATTTCAATACGTCAAATGCGTATTCGTACAGACGTAATTTGCACTTGCATGTTCGAATGATGGGGCCAGATAGTGGGAGACAAGCGCCTGCGCAGCGAAACACTTCCCGCGCTTTCCCGTGGTAGCAGCCTGCTGCGCAAGCGCCCTGGAGACCGCCAATTGTACGTCGGGTCATGTGATGACAACCGAATTTGAGGTAATGCATGTTTGGGACAGGCCATGGAGAGGCGAATTCTGAGGGTTTATTTATATACGGGACATTGCATCGTGGCGAGGGTCAGTTATGTACAGCCACTGCCCGAGTCTGTTCTTTCGACAGTCACCAACACCACCGATATTCTATATATCACTTCATTTCAAATCGAATTT